CCGAACCCTGCTGAGAACTGCCCAGAGCCCCTGCCACTGCATCTCCTCCTCAGGCCTAGCCCTGTCGCTAAGGTGAGACCTGTTCCCAAGTCTCAAGCTATCTAGGAATTGCTGCTAGACCCACTCTCTGAGTTCGGGATGCCACAGTGCCTTGCCATATATAGGACCAGGGCTGTTGTGCTCTGCAACGTTCCCCCTAGGCCCCAACATGTGGCTTTTCTTGTTTATTTTATTAAATTTATTGGGGTGACACTGGTTAATAAAATTATATAGATTGCAAGTATACAATTCTATAATACATCATTTGTAAATTGCACTGTGTATTTGCCACCCAAACTCTCATAGGCAAAGGTCTAATACATGGTGATGGATCATGTGGCTTTCATGAGCCTCCACCAGGAAGGGATGTGCTGCTATTTTTAGATTGCCCCCTGCAGCCAAAGTTGGGACTCTAACCCACCATCCCCAGGCTGTGCTGCTACTGCACTCTGCTCCCTCGGTCCAAGTCACCATTGCGTGCTGTCATCCCAGGACATGCGCTGCTGTTGCTGCTGTATCTCCCTCTGTCCCACCCCATCCAAGTCACTATGATGGGCTCCAGAGACCCAGATCCTGGTTCCAAAAATAAGCAAATGCCCACACCTTAGACACCAGTGCCAGTGACGCCATAAGTGTATCTGTGCTCAAAGACCCAGGCACAGTGGTAGTTTCATGTGCAGCTGATTCCAGGACTCTGTTCCCTACAGCTCTAAGAGCCAGCATGCATGGCCAAGTGCCAAGAAGGATCCCCTCGTCTACAACTTTATTCCATGGACAAAAAATGGAGGATGGAGGACCCAGCAGCCTTCGCCTCTGAGGATCCCAAAAGCCAAAGCTAGCACTGCTACCTCAGGACCTTTATAGTCTTCGCCACAGTCTGCCCCAGTGTTGACCTCAGCCAACAGAGATGCAAGGAGACTAGACCACTATGCTCTCCTAGGAACCAAGGGCATAGAAATCCACCCAGCTGGTGACCTCACAGCCACCTTGAGGTGAAAATCTTTCCCACCTAAGCCAGGCCAAAAAGGCTGGACGAGGTAACTGCTCCCTTAAATACACAGACATTAGAGCAAAGCCATTAGAAAAGTGAAAAAGTAAAAAAAAAAAAACATGACACCACCAAAGGAACACAATAATTTGCTAGTAACTGGTCCCCATCCCCAAATGAAGATCTGTGAGTTACCTGAGAAAGAATTCAAAATAATCATTTTAAGGAAGCTCAGCAAGATTCAAGTGAACATAGACAGACAACTCAATGAACTCAGGAAAATAATGCATGAACAAAACAAGATACTCAACAAAAAGACAGGAATCATAAAAAAGAACCAGACAGTAATTTTAGTTGTAGAATACAATTTAAAAAAAAAAAAATGGGGGAAAAAAATGCAATAGAGAGCTTCAACAGCAGGCAAAATCAGCAGAAGAAAATATCTATGAAATTGAAGACAGATCTCTTAGTATCATCCAGAGGATAAAAAAGAAATTAGAATTAAAAAGATTAAAGAAAGCTCACATGAATTATGGGACACCATCAAGTGAAACTATACAGTCAGCTCTCCAAATCCACAAGTTCTGCACCCATAAATTCAACCAGCTTGCTTAAAATAAACTTTTATAACTACAAGATGTACCATGAAGGTGTATTATGAAAGCCTCATGGTAATCAAAAGGCAAAAAACTGTAAAAAAAAAAACCACACAAATGATAGAGAGAAAAGAAGAAAAGCATACCACTACAAAAAGTCATCAACTCATGAAGAGAGGAAGAAAAAGAACTACAAAACAGAAAGCAATTAACAAAAGAGATAATAAGTCCTTACCTATCAAAAATTACTATAAATGCCAATGTTTTAAATTCTCCAATTAAAAGGCAAAGTGACTGAACATTCAAACAAGACCTAACTAACTATATGCTTCCCACAAGAGACTAACTTAAAGGACACTCATAGGCTAAAAGTAAAGGGATGGAAAAAGATAGTCCATGCAAATGGAAAGCAAAAGAGAGCAGTGGTTGCTATACTTATAACACACAAAATAGACTTGAACGCAAAAACTTAACAAGAGACAACGAAGGTCATTATAAAATGATAAAGAGGTGAATTCATCAAGAGCATATAATATAAAAACATTAGCATGTAATAAATATAAATATATATGTACCCAACATCAGAGCAACTAAATATATTAAACAATTATTAAAAGATCTGAAGACAAAAATAGACAGTAGAGCAATAATAGTAGAGACCTTCAATACCCCACTTTCAACAATGGATAAATCATCCAGACAGAAAATCAGTAAGGAAATAATAGACTTGAATAACACTCTAAATCAAATAAACCTAAGAGACATATACAGAACATATTATCTAACAGCAACAAAATACACATTCTTCTCAAGCACACAGAGAACATTCTCCAGGATAGATCATATGTTAAATCACCAAATAAGTCTCAACAAATTTAAGACTGAAGTTATATCAAGCTTCTTTCCCAACCACAATAGTATGAAACTAGAAGTCAATAACAGGAGGAAAGCTGAAAAGCTCACAAATATGTAGAAATTAAATAATACACTTCTGAGCAACCAATGCATCAAAGAAATCAAAAGGGAACTCAAAAAATATCTTGAAACAAACAAAAATGGTGTGTGTGTGTGTGTGTGTGTGTGTGTGTGTATGTATATATAGGCCCTGGCTGGTGGTGCGGGTGGCAGCCACTTGATGTGTCCCTTTCACATCGATGTTTCTCTCTCTCTCTCCCTCTCTCTCCCTCCCATTCTACCTGAACAAAAAATGGAAAAGTGTCCTCTGGTGAGGATAAAAAAAAAAGGAGTTAACAACATGAGGTGATATGTTAACTATTTTGATCTTGGTGATCCTTTTACAATAGATATCAAATTATCACATTTACATTTCAAATATATAAAATTATATTTGTCAATTATTTCTCCATAAAATCTAAAAAAGTGAGTTAGGACAATAAAGCATCACCAGATAAAATATTGGGTTGCGCCAAAGAATACTGAGAGCTTATAATGTTGAAGACCTTAACAATAAATACAAAATGAGCTTCTTAGTACTTGAGTACTTGGCAAGAAAAACAGGCAAAGAAATCAGCAGCTTGCCCTGGCCAGTTTGGCTTAGTGGCTGAGCGTCAGCCTGTGGACCAGAGTCTCACGTTCGGTTCCCGCTAGGGGCATGTACCACAAAAAAAAGAAATTAGCAGCTTGACTTAAAAAGAAACAAAACAGGAGGACAATGTAGTATTTCTTTGCCATTCTCAGATTTCCCACTTGTAGTTTCAGCTATTGATGAGCAACCCTGGGAGCTGGTGAGAGAGAATTAGTTTTACCATGGCATGAATTTGAGTCCTACGGTAACGTGGCTATGTGGGAAATCACCTAGGGAGTATGCCAAGTGTATCTTTGGCATCGACGTTTCAATAGTAATTTGCTATTCTCTATTCCTCTGCCCTGGCACAGTAGCTCAGCAAGGATTTGAAGGAAATTCTTTAAAACGTTCAGTAATATCATATGGTATATTATATGGTGATATTTGGGATTTTAAAATCTCAGCATGCATTCACTTCACCTCAAGAGTTTACTGTAAAAACCTGAAAATTCTAGATGTTTTACTATAATCCATATCAGTTTGTCTAAGGGCGTGATGTACCCCTGTGCCTTCTGTTGTCCACTTCTTATTCTTTATTATGCTGACTCTACAACTCCTGCCCAAGGGCAGAAATTCATTCTTTCAAGTAAGAAGCCTACAGCACTGTGTGCTTTCATACCAAGAAAAATACCTACTTTTATCCTATGCATCAGGGTTAGAAGACCGCTATAAAATTTATTTGATTATAACACATAAATCATTAAAATAAAGTAGCATCACAGTTATTATTAGAAAGTAAAAGAAAAGAAGCAAACAATCTCAATGAAATTGTTCCATGGAAAGGAAGCAATGCCAGTGAAGTTGTTCATGAAAGCTACAGAAAATGTAATTCTGAAAATATGTATTTTAGCTTCTAAATAAAAAGTTTTACTTCTCAACTCTGTGAACACATTTTTGTTTTTATACCTAATTAAAAATTAACTGTTCAACATTTAGTGGCCACTCACCATGCAAAATCAGTTTTTAATAATAAAAACATAAAATATGGTAGAAAGCATTACTTGACTTTATTAACCTCACTCACAATGTTGAATACAAATGTAAAATTCAGTAATGATCCTTAATTTTACGCCTATGTGAAAGCATGGTCTCTTAGATTTAAGAATTGGGGCAGATATATGTGACAAGGAGGAGGGGAATCAGAGAGCCAAGCCCCCAACCCCACTGATTTATCTATGTATTATAAAATCTGAGGTACAGCCCTTATGTTCTTTCAAATAGTATTTTCTTGACATGCCATTAATGTCATCAGTACTGAATTTTTAACCAGACCCTATAATCTATCACAAGTCGTACAATTATGAATTAAAAGAAACACAAATATGTGTACCGATTACTTTATGAAATTCACCACAAACAGTTGAACTTCACATATAAATTTCAAAAATCAATAGGACTATAATATTCTTAGACCCCAAGGCTAGATAAGGTCCACTTTCCAATTTTTTCTGCAATTTAAGAAATAATTTAATCTAATGATGTTAATGTAGAAATACATTAGATTTAACAATAAGAGATGACATTCAAAGGGAGAACCAATAAACCTTTGCATTTAAAACCAAAAGAAACACATCTTAGACACCTTAAACTATAAAATTCAGTTCTAAGCAGGAACTGTTACTGTGTAACAAATACTGCTCATATAAAAGTGCTGGTGACAAATAATTCAATATACCTATGCCCTCTCCACAGAATCTGTTCACATATATCTACCTATAACTGTAATAAGATTTTGTCTAAGGTGCTTAAATTTTGCACTGCAAGATTAGTTCAATAAGTATTCATCTGCTACCTCTTTGTAGCAACTCCAGTTAGAGTGAATGATCCATGGGCAAAAAGGCAAAAATGCTGTTATTTTCTAGAATGTGGCATTTGTGGAGGTGGAGCACCCTCTATTGGTAATGAGGAGGACACACTCATTAGCTGTCCTGCATGCATTTTCTCATTGATTCGGAGTTCACATCCATCCTGAAGCATTCGAACTGCTATTCGGGCAATGTTCTTAGAGTCATCAAGACCACTGTGAGGCCGCCCATCATAATCCATTCCTAGTTTTTCAAGCATTATTGTCAATTTGGTTTGGCTTCTAGGAACCTGAAAAATAAACGAACAGTAAATAATTCTTTATTCATTCTATAAGTCACTATAAAGTAAAAACAAGAAACTGAAAATTAACAGTAATAGCTAAATAAAGTTAGGAAAACAGCAAATACTCCTGGTTAATTAAAGCAAATAAATAACTCAAACCTTCAGGGCTTTAGTGTTTTGGATTAAAGTATATTTCAACAAATGGAATCCTCAAGACATCTAAAACGTTTGCAGTTTTATAATTTAACAAATCATTTATGAAAGGAAATGCATTGTTCTTCTAAAATGAGGGTTCTACCATTTTAACCCAAATTAATTCTTTTTCATATGATATTTTTCTGTAATGCATTATTTTATTTGACTGACTCCTTACTAGCGGTTCTCAACCTTCCTAATGCTGAGACCCTTTAAAACAGTTCCTCATGTTGTATGTGGGCGTATCTGCATGTGGGCGGACCCTCCTGGAGACAGATAGAGGAGGGGTGTCTCAGTTCCTAAGGCCATCAGAAGTATGTGTTTTCCGATGGTCTTAGGTGAACCCTGGGAAAGGGTCGTTCGACCCCCAAAGGGTCACGACCCACAGGTTGAGAACTGCTGCCTTAGACAGACACACCAAAACATATTTAGCATTTCTAGATGATGAAAAATAACAACAATCAAAAATGAAAGATGCCCTGGCCAGTGTGGCTCAGTTGATTGGAGCATCGTCCCGTGCACAGAAGGGTCATGGGTTTGATTCTCCGTCAGGGCACATACCCAGGTTGTGGGTTTGATCTCTGGTTGGGGAGTATTCAGAAGGTAACTGATAGATGTTTCTCTCTTTCTCTATCTATCTAGTTCCCTTTCTTGCTCTCTAATCAATAAAAAAGAATGAAAAACAATGTCACGTGATCTATTTCAACCTATTTAAATACCTGTTCCATTTTGAAACATGAAAATCTTACACACTCCCCAAATTTCACTTTTGAGAATCACTATTCTATCTTTAGTATATCCTGATTAGAAAGATTTGTTAAGTTGCCCAGTCAGTGTTGCTCAGTGTATTGCACGTCATTCCATGGACTGAGAGGTCCCAGTTACATCTGGTCAGGACACATGCCCGGGCTGCAGGCTCGATCCCCAGTAAAGGGCTCGCAGGAGGCAGACGATCAATGTTTCTCTCTTACATCGATGTTTCTATCTCTCCCTCCCTTCTCTCTAAAGAATCAATAGAAACATATTAAAGAAAATAGTTCTTAAGTTTTACATTTTGTAGTTTGTATAGTTGAATCACCTATACATCTTAAAGCCTCAGCTTCTTCACCTTTACAATGAGAATAACAGTTGTACTCTTTACTCACTACAAAAGAAAAGACTAATTTTTTAAAAATGGGTAGGAGATTTAAACAGGGCCTCCATAAAAAAAGAAATCCAAATGGCTAATAATCACAGGAAAAGGCGCTCAGCCTCATAAGTAATTAGGCAACTGCAATTTAGAACCTCAAAAAGATGGCATCACACATCCACCAGACTCACAAACATTTTAAATGTATGGTAATACCAGATGCTGACAAAGACAAAGAGCAATTATCAATTCATACATTCGTCAGGTGAGAGTGCGGACTGATATAAACTCCTTTGGAAAACTATTTGCATTATCTTGTAATGCCAATGATGCACATACCTATGACCCAGCAATTCCACTTCTAGGTCTATATCCTGGAGAAATTAGTGCACAAGGCACCAGAAGACATACACAAGAATGTTTATAGCATCACTGTTCATAATAGCCCCAAACTGAAAACCACCCAAATGGCCAGCTAAAGTACACCAGATAAACTCTGGTATATTCACACAATGGGATTCTGCACAGCAATAAAATAAATGAGCTGCAGCCATATACACAGCATGGATAAATCTCAAACATAATGATAAGGGGAAAAAACAAAATAAACAAAACAGCCAGTATGACACTAATGATATCATGTTCAGAAACAGGCAAAACCTAACTATATGATATAAGGATAAACACAAATATTAAGGCTTTATAGGAAAGCAAGAAAGTGATCCTACTAGAAGTATGGATTATGGGAGCCCTGGGAGGAAGGAAGGGGAATAAGAGTGGAAGTTACACGGGATTTCACTTTAAAACACTCTGTCAAACTCTACTTTTCTGTATTCATAGTTTTCGGTTTTAAGAAATGTTAAAACCACACACAGAAAAAATATTAAAATAAAAACAACTTTTTTCATGAACCTACTTTAGGATGTGCTTCACCAAATGAAATAGTAAAGGAAAAAAGATGACACAGATCTAACACATGATAGAGGGAAAAGGAAATCTCCTAGGTGATTTTAGAAGCCTGAACAAATAGTTCTGATTAGAACAGGATTAAAGGCTCCAGGAAGGCATTCCTCAAAGGAAGAACAAAAACTGACAGACTACCTGAATGTTTTGAGTACAGATCCTGAGAAGTGATTTACAAGTTTGAGTGAAAAGGAACAGAATAAGAAAACTAAAGAAGTCAATTATTAAATCTGAGGAAAATCTGTGAACACTCTCCATCATCATAGGAATGTTAAATACTGAATAATGATTTAATTACAGAGGTAATGTAACTATATTAGAAAGATGCAAGGAAGAGAAGGACCTGCAGAGGTGGTTTTTCAATAGAGCTAAATCTTCATCTTCCACTGCAGGAACTTAATAGATTATCTCAAACTAAAATTCAAGAAATAGCATAAACACATAATTTAGATATATTAAGTTCTAATATTAGAAGAAATAGCTTCAGAACGTTGAAAGTGTTTGTCTCAGGAGAATAGAAACCAGTACTGGTGAGGGCCATGGTATAAGACTGCCAACTGCTATAAGTTTTACAATATTATTTTTAAAATTTACATTATACACGTGTTAAATTTGATAAAATTAAAATTCAATGGGGATTAACTGTTCCACAATCAATCAACATATTGGATACCCTTACATTTTCAAACCTGTATTGAAGATATTAACCTACTTAGTAACATTAAATGAGCAAAACAGCTTATCTTTCTAAACTCAGATGAATATAACTAATTTGGAATCTGAAAAGTAACAACCAATTATATGGTCTTTTTCTGTGAAAAACACATAGTAAATCACAATTTAATGTGCATGCAAAACATAAACTTATCAAGAGCATAAGAGTATATCATCAATAAAATACAGAAATTTTACCTTGTAAAAGTTTCCATATGATTTTCGAATATTGATCCACTTTTTAGCAAAGGGAGGATATTTGAGTCTGCTGAGCCGGCACTGAATGTTCAGGAACTTACTCATATCCCATGAACTTGTATATCAAAAATGGGGGGGAAAATGGATAAAATAAATGCTACAATATTTTTATATGAGTTCTTCTTAAGTCATTCTATTTATTTTTTTATTTACACATGACACCTTTCTCATACTTACACATAACATCAAGCTTAGAAAATTAAAATCTCTTCCTCCAAAATACTAATTCAAAAACAAACTTTAAATAAAAAAATTAAAAGTTGGGTATATTTAATTTTTTTCACAAACTAATTCTTGTTAGGCATATCTTGACTATTTTTATGGTTCTGATTATCTGTGTAAGCCGCTATCTTGTTGAGTCTTTTTTCATCATTCTAAACAATTCTGCTAAGCTGACTTTTAATGCCAGGTTTATCACATCAGGAAGTTTCTGCGAGGATTTCTTTTGAAATAAAACAAATAAACAACATACTTAAAAGAGAGCTGGTATCAAGAAGTCAGAATAAAATTTGTTCTGCTACGGTAGATGTTTTTATAACACTAATTAGCCTATGTAGTTAAATAGGAGAATATGGACTGTATAATGCGAAAGTGTATTGGTTCCATACATGGGTTTTCCTAGCCAAAAGGAGTTAAGTATAATAGCAGACAAACTTATAACCTTCAGCAAGAAAGAAAAAAAGCTCACAACTCAGCTTCTGTACTGGCAATAGGAGTACTTTCAAGTAAATTTTAAGAAAATTAAAAACAAGTGCCTGTCCCCAGGATTCCATTTCTTCTGTGCATTTGTAATATCCTTGGAGGCAACTTCCACCTACCAAGATGCTTGCCTGCGCTGTCCAAATTATGTCTGGTGGTATCAATTATTGTTTTTGTTAGTGCTCTGGTTACAAAACGGCACAAGTTTTGAATGGTCTTTCCCAGAACATGAGGTTCTTACAGAATCGCATGTACTGTGTTACAACAGAAACACCTGTATACTTGAGTACTAACATTGATCATTTGTGTTTGAAATCAATAGATTTCTAAAGAGGTCAATCAACATTTTCCCAAACGTCCATTTTCCAACACAATTACAATGTGATTAAATTCAATGCTCTTTCCTTGTTGTATGTGAGGGTCTCTAAATTCTTTATATAGGTGACATCGTAGCTATGGTGTACAATCTGTCTGTAGTTTGAAACAGAATCGATCAGAACTTCCTCCTTGAACCTTAAAAGCACTATGGAGGAGTGCCTTGGCACAATGCTTATTTTGGTGTTACCCATCTTCCCAGTTAGTCTTTCACTGAGCATCCATTTTGAACTCAACACTACAATAAGCGTTATATGAAAGCCTACCAAGTAGCAAAAGTCCCTGCTCTGAAAGGACTTTTAATCTCCTTGCAAACACAAGTCTTAAGTACATAAAATTTAGTATCAGAATATTGTCAGATGCCAAACATGAATGGTACACATCAGACAGGCTATTATATAACTTCAAGGAAAAAAAAAAAATCAATGTCAATTATAGTGTCTGGAGTAAAACATTAGGTGGGCTTTGAATAATAACAAAGAAGTGGTCAAGGAAGAGAGCCTTCCAATAGAGAGGAAAGCCCAAATAAGTACACAGAAAAAGGATAAACAATGTGATTCATGGGCCAGCAGGACTAGAATAAAAAAGAATGGCAGGTGACTTAGGCTACACAGGTAAGGTGAGATTAGATGAGAGATACTTGAAAGCAAGACTGAAGAGTTTGGACTTTTCTGAGTAAGTGTCTTGATGAAAACAGTTTTAATTTTACATATTAATATTTATCTTTCTCTAGTCTTCCAGTCCTAGATTAGACTGTTATCACTGCTTTCAATGGTAACAAAAAGAAAAATATTGTCTTCATTAGTAAATAATATTTTCTGTGGTTATTATAAAAGTTAAATAAGGACATCTTTAATCTTAAAAAGTAGATAAAAAGATGATTTCCTACTTACCCATCTGTTAATATGCAATACTTATACTTTGTTCCTAATTCCTTCAATTTCATCCAGTCAATTACTTTTTTTAGTACCTGAGGGAAGGTATCAGCTCTGTCTACCTGATCCTGAGGATATAAAATACATAAAAATCAGAGAGTTACATGTAGTCCTACAAAATACCCAGATATAAGCAATGACAGAAAAGGAATAGAAAGATAAGTCTTATCTATAATGTTTTAAATTCTTCATGATTTCCTTGGCTGAGATACACCTAGTATTTCATTTTTAAGACAATTAAAAATTATTTATAGCCAAGTATTAGGGACTGCTTTCAAATGAAGCACATAATCCTCCCCAAATTAAGATTTAAGATCAAAATCAAGATTTAAGATCAGCCCCAATGGTTCTCTTTTTGTAGCCTCAACCCAGTGGGTCACCAACTCACTGGAGTGGAGGAAAGGGAAATCTCTTATCGCTGAAAGCCAGAGCCTTCTGCACTAATCTCTCTATCTCGAAGCTCACATCTTTCTACCACATCTTCCTAAAATGTAAATCTTACCCATCACACCACTTTCGTACTTAAAACCCTCCAAACACTCCCCAAGGCTTTCGGAATAAAAAGACACACAAGACTCTTCATGACCTGGCTTGCCTCGGCCTACCACTTCAGCTTAAACACTACAATATGAAAGATCTTTACCAAGCAAGCAAAATATACTAACTTAAACTGTTTACAACACTAAGTTGTTAAAACTATGAAATAAATCACCAATTTCAAAATTTCTTTCAAACTTCTAAAAAGAAACCTAGAATTATAACCTGAGTAATTCCAGTTAGATTGATGCAGAAATCAGACAGCTGTGTGTTAACCTCTGGTCTCACATACTGCTGAAACGTATCTTCCTACAAGGAAAGGACAGCAAGTTAATGCATTTTCTCAGACTTAACAATGCATGACATAAATACAGCCACACAAGATTATAATTTTACAGGTGCTCATGGCATAGAACTTCTAGAGTTTTAACAATTTAAGAGTAATTCCCTGTTCCCAAAGCACTCTGATTTTTTCCCTTATAATCCATTTTAATTAAGGCAGCTCTGATAAATTCTCCAGAAGCACTCTGATTTTTTAATTAAAAATTATGTTTCATAGTTTAAAAAATTTTAAAAGAAAGCAAGTGTCTGCAAGCAAGCTAGCAAACCGAAGTTTAAATAAACATTTTCCCTAAAAGCACAATGTTGATAATTTTGTAATATTTTGAAACTGTAAAGCCTATTAAATATAACCTCTACTTCAAGATAATAAAAGCTTTTCAAATTATAATAAATTCCTTTAAATACCAGTCTTGTTATAATAAATTTGCTCCAGATTACTGCTTTCTCATTTATTCCTGAATAGTCATTATTATATTAAGAATCCATTAAACTGAATTATGAAGTCAAAATTTGACTCTATGATATTTCATAGTTTAAAGGGTGAAAATGTTTCATTTTTTTTTAGTAATTTTTAAACTCTTCAAGAAGCTCATGTGTGCCTTAGTTTATGCTCCTGACTCTGTGGACTCAGTAAGGCCAGTGTTGTTATTATCAAGCTCAGATCTCTAAGTGGTTTTCCTCTAGGGCTAACTGCCTCTCTAAGCCACTTGGTAAAAAGTAAGAATGATTTCAAAGCCTAAAGAGTTATAGGCAGAAACTGTTAATATATAGATATGGATAAAAAGACAAAAGAAGGCCTGGCCAGTTTGGCTCAGTGGTTGGAGCAGCAGCCCGCGGACCAGAGAGACCAGGGTTCGGTTCCCTCCAAGGGCATGTACCCCCCCCCCCCAAAAAGACAAAGAAAATTGTTTGTGGTAGAAGATTTAAAAGTTAACTAAAAGTAAAAAGTAATTATATAGTTCCTAAGAATAATTATTTTTATACACTAGTGTATTAGTAGATGAATTATAGTTAGTAACAATCGTAAAACAGCAAAAGAACAAAAAACATTTGAACTTTAAAACTTAGATGCTCTTTACTTACAAGTCATATTACAAAAGAAAAAAATTCTACTTAATTGAATTTCATGGATAAATGAAGTCTATATTCTTCTAAGTATCAATATTTTGTTTTACAATTTTAAATGAAAATCTTTTAAAATATGTGACTTTCCTTATCATTACAAGCAGGCGATTTACTAAGTATAACACATAAAATTTTATTCACTATTTAATACTTTTAACAGAATAATGCTACAGAGAACTATGCCTTCATTGACCAAATACTTAATTAACACTTAAATAACTTACATAGTAAGTTAAAAGGTGATGAAGGTTATTGGAAAAGAGTATGTAAAAGGAATCAAACACTGGGGGTGTAAGAGTATTTAAGCTACACTATTAAATAGTTAACCCGGTTAGGCTTTATTTAGAAGGTGAGAGTTAAGAAAGCACAGGGAGGGAGGGAGGGAGGGAGGGAATTAGCAGCAAGACCTCTGGAGGACAGGAATTAGAGATAAAGCCTAGGAGGTGAGGGGGTGGAGCATGTCTGGCATTTTTTTGAAACAGCAAGCATGTCAATATGGCACAACCAGAGGTAACAAGAAGCCAGATCATATAAGGAATATGACATTTACTCTGAGCTCAATGGGGAGCCATTGAAGGGTTTTGAGCAGGGAAGTGAAATGATCTGACTTATACTTTACAAGAATCACTCTGGACACTATGTTGAAAACTGGCTGGCTGTGTGGGACAAGGATAGAAACCCAGAAACTGGTTAGCTGGTGAAAGCAGTAAATCCAACAAGAAGTGACTGGAGCTCCCTCTGTTCTGGATATATTTTGAAGGCAGAGCAAACAGGAGCCACTGTCAGTCTGGATGTGTGATATGAGAGAAACAGAAGTGTCAAGGATGACTCCAAGGTTTCTGAACTGGGCACTTAGAATCCCAGAGTTGCCATCACTCATGCTAGGGTAGGCTGAAGATAAAATGGATAATTCAGGGTGAATTCAATGTGGGACTTGTTAAGATGTCTATTTAGATGTCTAAGCAGAGATGTTAAGTAAAGAGTCTGGATTTGGAACAGAGGACCAGGTTTGACATATATATTTGGAAGTCATCAGCATACAGTTTCTGGGAACAAGATAGATAAAAATCATTAAAGAAGAGGACTTGGGATTGAACCTGAGACATTTGATATTAGGAAGTTGGAAAGAAAAAAGAAAAAGAAACCAGAAAGGTAAATTGCAAAAGGCAACTTCATGAGGTTGGAGAAAAATAAAGAGAATGAGGTGTCCCGGCAGTTACTTGAAGAAAGTATTTCAAGGAGGGAATGGTCATTTATACCAGGATTTAGGTAAAGGTCAAAGATGACAATGATTACTGATTTTAGTGGAGTGGTGGGATTGAATACATAACTTAAACCTACAGTGGTGTGGGTTTAAGAGAGAATGGGAAGAAACAGAGACAGAAGTACATATAACTTTTTCAAAGAAATTTGTCATAAAAAAAGAAATAGGGTAGCTGGCAGAGACATGGGATCAAGTGAAGGCTTTTTATGTTGTGAAAAATAACATGCTTGTATGTGATGGGAACAATACAGGAAAAAGCAATAAACCATTAACATCTAAACAAGGGAGAACTGCCAGAGGAATGGCCCTGAGTAAGAGAGAAAGTAGAATCTAGTAGATATGCAAGATTATCTTTTTGCCTTCATAGCTCATTTTTCCTTTTGATTTATTGACCTTTAATATGCTTTTGACATGGAAATTAAATAAATAGGCTGATTAAAAATATAAATAAAAGGGCTCTGAAGAACATTAAGAAAAAACCTATGCATTTTAATGTATAAAGCTATTTTATATTTTCTCCCAATGTGTTGGCAGTAACTTCTGAATAGATGGGATGTTATGATATATCCTCACTAATATTTTACAAAACAGATTATTCAGGATAATTCCTGGTGACTTCCTGAACTAGTGGCACTGACAACTACTATCTAAAGCATATACATTACATGGCTTAGAAGCATAGGTTATAAGAGTTGTTTCCCCAATAAACATTTCACCAGAAAGATGGTCAGTTCTAGGTTGAAAGATGATTTCTGTAAATTATCATTTTCAGAGATTAGAGCAGACATTAGTCTATAGCAGTGGTTCTCACCCCTGATTATGTGTCAACTGAGAAACTTTAAAAATTGCTGACGTCAGGGGCCCCAGCATAGAACAACTAAACCAGAATCTCCGGAATGAGGGTCAGGCATCAGTTTGTTTGTTTTTCTCCCACACTCCAGGAGATTCTGATGTCCAGCCAGATGTGTTCTGAACAAACAGAAAAAGAAAAAAAAAAAAAAAACCACTACAGTTTTAGCTACTGGAAAAGGAGAAAAGAAGACTCTGTAATTATTTTATTATAGTTTTTCTATTAACCAAGCTGATACAAAGCACACAAGAGCAAAAAGCCCACTCAGAATTCTAATTCTAGCTGAAACAGCAACTGAGATCCTCCACCTTACTAACCAAACCCAGGATATTTACTGCTAAAAATAAAATTAAAATATAACAATTCACTTACTATTTCTAAGGTCTGAGTATTCAGTAAAACAACAGGAAATTCAATTATTTCATGTATAAACTCCGTTGGGTTACCCTCTTCACAAGTGGCTTCAAAGTCAATAATACAAATGTAGTCATAGTAACTGTCAGCACAATTGTCCTCTTTCAACATCAACTTCTGCTTCTTATAATAATTTTTCAGCCTCTTCTTTAGTACATCCTTTACTCCTCTAAGGAAAATAATAAAATTAACTCTTAGGTGAATTTCAGTCAAGAATGTGAACTCTTACCTGCTGTCACTGGACTGAACACTGACAGTCACAGTATAATTTAGCAAATGCTAAAATAAATGTAAAGAAAGCAAGACTCAAAGCTAATTTAGCAAAGAACTAATTAAAATATTATGTTTAATACAACATCAACATTTTCCTTTGAAAGTAACTTTTAATTTTTGTAGTATATAAGAACATTTTCCTTAACATATTCTGGTACTTCAAACCATAAGCCCTGTCAGCATACACCACCTACACAGCCATACTGCCTTAAGGTTAAGATGACTTACATAACACAAAAATTGCAATTAATATTAAATTATTCTATTGGCCAAATACAAATTTCAGAGTATAAAACTCAGGTAACGTCCAGCTGGTGTGGCTCAGTGGTTGATCATCGACCCATGCACCAATAAGTCATGGGTTCAACTCCTGGTTAGGGCACATGCCCAAGGTTTCGGGCTCAATCCCTGGTGGGGAAAATGCAGCAGACAGCTGATCGATGTTGATGTCTCTCTCTCTCTCATCGATGTTTCTATCTAATCTTTCCCTCTCCCTTCTCTCTCTCTAAAATCAATAAAAAACGTATTTTAAAAAAACTCAGGTGAATTGATCATACTGTGCAATCTCTTCCCTTTTTTTGGCTTTTACATGTTAGACAACTGAAAGACTCCATATGAATATGAAAACATATGAGCCTAGTATATACAGTTGAATGTCTGTCAGCTATTTAACTAAGAAAACTAATTTAGAAGCTACCCTAGGCCCTTGTTGGATAGCTCGGTTGGTTAGAGCGCCATTCCAATACAGCTTGGTTGAGGGTTCGATCTCTGGTCAGGTCAGATACAAGACTCAAGCAATGAATGCATAAATAAATGGAACAACAAATAAATGTTTTTCTTTCTTTCTCTAAAAATCAATAAATTAAAAAGAAAAATAATGCCCTAGAGTCACCTGTGTCCAGAATAACATAATGATACTCAGTAAGTTCTTAATTAGATGTAGCTTTCTTAATTTACCATGAGTAGAATATGATTTAGGAGATTTCCGTATTATAGGTATTTTTAAAATACATGTTCCACAAGAGGGCGGGGGGTGGGGAAATGGCTGTTCTAAATAGATAACAATGCTGGTAATGGTAGTCACTCACGTTCTTCAAACAGTATGCATTTCTTCAAAAAACTAAGAGCAACAATTAGTGCTCAGACTTCTTTCAGGACTTATTGGTTGAGTCCCATAATGGCTTGCAAATACATAATGGTAGTACAAATAAGATCTTATTAATGTATAGTGACAAGTAAGACATCTTGGTCACATCACTGATCAGTGTCTATTTTTTAAAAAAGGTTTTTAACCTGTTTCCTTTATAAACCGTTAATGAAAAGGAATCCTGTCCATGAAAATACTGATAATTAACCAGTTAGTTGTTTTAAAACAAAATGCCTTAATATATTTATTTATTTGCTTGAGATTTCTCAAATTATCAAAACCTAAAAGGAAACCCCTTAACTCCTTTCATATTAAAGTAATGTGACTTCTGTGTCATGTGACAGTTTTGAATTACTACTTTGTCTTAATGTCTTTTCTTTCTTTCTTTTTTTAGAGAACCTATATATTACTAAAAGGTTGCCTGTAAACCTAATGGCAACACAAACTTATAACCAGTTGCTCCACAGGGAAACTTACATCTTTTACATCTCCCTTGCCCCTCGACATTTAAATAATCACCATTTTTGCCAATTCCAACTCAGAAAAACATTCAGAAATTGGTTCCACTTAATTCTCTCTGGTATGGCTCTCATTAGCCTCCTGGACAATGGCAAATGCTGCCACTATCACAACCCTCCTATTCATTCTTTATGTTACTTGAGAACTAGGCACTAGTGCCAATTTCCTGCTGAAAATACCTTCAGTGGCTCTCTTCTGCTTACAAAGCAAAATGCAGACTTTAGCAAAAAGTTCCTTCATAACTTAGCTATGACCTATGATTTCAGTATCATCTTCAGATGATCCCACTGCCCATGGTACATAGCATATTGCAGACAAAACACACTATAAGTCATTGCCTGAATATGTGGAATGCTTTTGTGTTCTATAACTTTGGTTGCACAATAACTAAAGAAAAAGAAATATCATGTAGCAGAAAAGATACAAACAGAAATTAGTGGGAGTTCTGCATTCTTTTTGCCTGAAATAGAAGTGCTTGGCACATCAATTCAAATGTCACCCCTGAATTCCTAAGACAGAGTCTGTGTGTTCTCATGCTATACTTGGCCAGACCTCCAATATAGCTCTGGTCACTCTGCATTGTGATTATTTGTTTATTGTTTGTGTGTCTTCCCAAAGATCATGAGTTTTCCAAAGTGGGGAATTTATCTGTTTTACCTTTAAAACTTTAAGATCTAGTATAGTGCTTAGAATTCAGTAAGTGCTTGTTGAATAAATGTATATACATAAATGTAGATCTCTAGTTCTCATGCCAGTCAGGAATAAGCAACTGGTCTTCACATCTAGAAAGAACTAAAGTTTTGCCCAGAAAATTCACAGGCTACAGGTTGTATCTTCTTAATACAAAGAGGGGAAATGAGGTAAAAATTTTCTTCACAAATTAAGATATAGACAATCTAGAAGAAAAAGAATACATGTGTGCTCTTTTGAAAAGTAGTAGAGGCTCTATTTTAAAGGAAAGAAGCAGTACTCCTTATAAGAGAAGAATGATTCAGGGATACCCAGAAACAGTATTATAGGTAGTCAATTCTTTACTTGATGCCTAGAAGTTCTACTGTCTATAAAAAATCTTAATGTTTTTCTAGATTTCTAAAGGTCATTCCTACCCCATGTCCCAAGTCAAAATAACTTGTTTTACAAAAAAAAAACTAATAAAATCATAAGTATATATATATCTCACTGAAGACACACACACACAGAGTTGGCTAAGCTGTACTGAATTCTCATTTAATATACACTTAAACATAATATATACTATTATTCTTCATATTTTTAGAAATCAATACTTCCTAGTAGGTGAATGACTTTTTAAAATAACCTGGTTTCAAAGAAATTCTCCTTATAAAATAATACAAATGGACAAAAGAAAATATTCAATCTCATTAATAAAATATTTTCCAGTGACCAAATGGCAACTAAAAGAATTTAAAACATACTTGGTATAATAAGATAGATATTCCTATTCACTGCTGGTAAACTATCAAAATATTCAGAGACTTTGACTTCCCAATCCTAGTCTATCATCTAAAAGACTAATAGGAAAAAAAACAGAGTTACACACAAAGATTCAAATACAAGAATATAAGTTACAGCTGTTATTTGAATTGTTAATAATGGTTATTTCTTTATGGTAAGATTATACATTATATTTATTTTTTTAATGTTTTCTAAGATTTTCTAAGATGAGTATATATATTTTTATAATTGTAAAAAGTTATTTTTATTTACCTGGTTTCAAGTTTGAATTCTGAAAGTTTAGCTCTGAGTTCTTCCTTACTCATTCTATTAATGCAACCATTCGTAATAGCAATCTCTTTGTAAACTGGGTCACTGAAATCACTTGAATTGGAGGTAATGAACTTAGATCCTTTTGTTTCTTGGCCATCGTATCTACATCGTTGCTTTTTCTACCAAAAAAAAAAAAAGAAAAAGACATAGTTTAAAATTAGTACAAACATCTTCAAGATTCAAACTCCTGAGGAGGGGGTCTCTTTGTGCTCCATGTTCAGTGAAATATGCCTGTTGTTACTACTGGAGGGAAGGCGGGATAGGAAGAGATGTGTTTCCAATACAACTGACCCTACTCTCTTTTGAGTCACGAAGTTCCTTATAAACAATAAAGCTAAGCAAAAAGAGCACTGATGCTGAGAGTCACAGGCACCTCAGTACCAAGTCAAAGCTGGCCATTTACTAGCAGCATGACCTTAGGTTACTTATTAACCTCTGATTTCCCATTTCCTTATCTATAAAACAAAGCATAATCATAATTGTCTCAAATGGCTGTTTGGTAATGGTAAATAGTATTTATGTAAGATTAGTATAAGGATTAAATAAGATTATGTATATATCAGGCTCCTAATATCATACTCACAGTGGCATTAATAAATGATAATTTTACTTATTACCACCACAGATTATAGAACAGACCTTTTCACAAACAACATTCTAAAATTTACAAAATTTTAATCTTTATATTATACATGTATAATTCAGTGACTTCCTGAGAATTTTCTCACCTGATTTCATTTCACAACGCCAACAGAAACTGCTCAACATAAAAACAAAATAGACTAGACATCTAGTTCAAAATGTCCTAGTGCCCAAGGCAAAAAAGAAAATGTATTCAGTTTCAAGCAATGTCTGAAAATCACATATAACAGTTATTCAGGATAACTATATTATCTTATAAACCTTTTCTCTTTTCTTAAATCAAAATCTGTATTAAAAAAATAAAAAATAAAAATGACTGCCCTGGCCATTGTGGCTCAGTTGGCTGTATTGTCCCATGCATCAAGAGGTTGCCAGTTCGATTCCTGGTCAGGGCACATGCCCAGGTTACAGGCTCGATTCCCAGCAAGGAGCATGAAAGAGGCAGCCAATAGATGTTTCTCTCTCTCATCCATGTTTCTATCTCTCCACCTCTCTCCTTTTCTCTCTCTAAAATCAATTTAAAAAATTCTTTAAAAAATCTTTAAAAAAAAATGACTTAATTTTAATCATTCCACTGGTAGTCCCAAAATACTAAGATGCTGTTTCAAAGATTCATTTATAAGTTTCCTATTTTCCATATGCAATATTATAAATATTAAGGATGTTCCAGAATTCTCAAAAATACTTTGGTATTTACTATTAATCCATATCAAAGCTTGTCAACTTAGTCATAACTTACCACACTGTCCCCATATGAACTTTAATTACTGATTAAGGGGGAATAACCAGGAACAAGTCATAGTCCTTGACGTAGAGCTGATCTTGATGGTTCAGGAACTATTTCTCACTCTAAGTTCTCAATTTAATGCAACACACAGTTACTGGAAATGTAACACTAGGGACTGTGCTAGAGTACTCAAGAATTACTGCATCTCCTCTGAAGAAGAGGCCAGCAATTCTAATGCATGAATTGCCCATAAAGTGAAAAATAACTATATTGCAGTTCCTTGTTGACAAATATTTATAAGCTTTATTATACTGATCTTTGACTAAAACTAAGAAAATAATTAGTTTTTAAAAATCTATTAAATTTATGATAACTGGTTCCTTTATCATTAGAATTTAATCAGGATAAATTATCCTGCCTCTAAATTTACACTGAATTTTAAACTTCATCTTCAGTCAGGTTCAAATTTAGGTCAACAATGACCTACCAAAACAGACGTCTTGATTAACTTAAGCAAATTTTCACTTTGGCTAAATCCTCTCTCTGACTCACTTACTTAATTCTTATCTAAAACTGAAGCTACAAAAATTACCCACAAGTAACACTTAGGCCTCTTCTAGACATGCTATATGATTTCTATAAAGATATGCTTCCTCTCCTAGGTCCAACTTGAGCCTTCTTCCTTCAGTGAAGTTTAGGGCACAGTCGAGATCCAGTACTCAGTGATCAGTCTCTCTACACCAGTGGTTTCCAAAGATGGATGCTCAAGTCAGTTCACTAAGGAGCACAAAAAAAATTTAACTCTACATAGATTACTAATCTACAAAAACACAAAATTACTTTATTAAATAATACACAGTTTGGCAACTGTGTCCTCCTGGTTGTCTGTCTACCTGTCACATGTCACACAGTACCAGCCACATAATGAGGAAGTAGGACAGATTACACAGTATGGAGAAAAATATTCACCCTCACAATACTGTGACATTTTGTAACTTACATGTATCCAGGTGCTTGTATGGTTTATAATATCCCAAAAAGGGAATCTTTACATTATGGAGTGACCACAAAAATCTTTTATACCAGAGGTTTACCGACGATCTTGTGGCAAAGTACTTACGTGCTGCTGAACTTAAACATGGGTATTCCAAAATTGATGTCCTTTTCCATAAGGAAATGATAGCTTGATCTTTACAAGTTGTTTTTTTTTAATAAACACAACTTGATGTTTCAAGATGAAATATGCTTTAACAAATAAGTTAGTAACTGATTATAAAAAGAAAATTTTTCCGCAGCAAGAACAGTCTTGAAAAGAGATGTTCTTGAAATGTTTCCATTATTTTATTGCCCCCCCAAAAGTGTATTATCTAGCAAAAAAAAATCTGCATCTGCACACTAAAAAAAAAATCTTAGGCCCTGGCCGGCTTGGCTCAGCGGTTACAGCGTCAGCCTGTGGTCCTGAGAGACCCGGGTTCAGTTCCCGCTAAGGGCGCGTACCTTGGTTGCAGTTTGTCCCCGGCCCTGGTAGGTCGTGCGGGTGGCAGCCACTCGATGTGTCCCTTTCACATCGATGTTTCTCTCTCTCTATCTGTTCCTCTCTCTCCCTCCCACTCTACCTGAACAAAAATTGGAAAAATGTCCTCGGGTGAGGAAAAAAAATAAAATAAAATCTTAGAAGAGACTTGATCAGCATTCTTCCAAAGGAAGAGTTCTGATGGAATTTAAACCTACTTGTTAAAAATACAACCGATTAGTTTACAAATACAACCAATATTGGGAATAATGGAAATTTACTTAGCTAAATTCCAACAGAAAAAAATCTGCTTAACTGAGAATTTAGAGTATCTAGCAATATATTTTTAACAAATATGGCAGTCACTGAAACCAATCTGGAACACAGATATGAGTCACCATATCTGTTTTAAGACTCAGATGTAATAAAGTATGTCCAATCATACTTCTCTTATTAAAAGAAACTTTAAAAATTACTCTTAAACTGACTTACACGATGATGTTATTGAGAGGACCACAGATTGAAGAGTGGTTTTGTGTCTTAATATCTTACCATTTTTTTTTTTTAGAGGGAGGGAGGGAGAGTGACAGAGAAACATCAATGAGAGAGACACATTGACTGGTTGCCTCCCGATGGGCTCCGTGGGAGATCTAACACGCCCTTGACCGGAATGGAACCCACGGCCCTTGGGTGCACAGGCCCACGCACGCTCCAACCGCTGAGCCAAACCGGCCAGGGCATTAGAGTGGTTCTTTAGAGAGAAGGGTCAACGAAGGCCTCTTCAAAGTAATATCTAAAGGGAAATGAGATAACTTATGCAAATCTCCCAGGAAAGCACACAGAGACCCTTACAGAAGGCAAGGCAGCCAGCCGCACTGGGAACAAGGGAAGAACTTTGTGCCAGCAGTTAGCTATGGACACAGGAGCCGAGTCCTGCGGAGTAGCAAACTGAAGACTGAGGGGAGCAACCTAGTCAGATGGGTTATTTAAAAAGATGACTCCTGCTGCTACTTGGAGAATTAGCTGTAGATGGAAGCAGCAGCAGATGGGAAGTCTTCACTCAGTGAGGTGCTCGCCATTAGCTTGGTATTAGTAGAAAATGACCTAGTATTTTAGTACTAGATTAACAGTCCACAGCGCTGATCAAAATAGCTATCTTTGCCCTGGCCAGTTTGGCTCAGCGGTTAGAGCGTTGGCCTGCGATCCAGAGAGACCCGGGTTCGGTTCCCGCTAAGGGCACGTACTTTGGTTGCAGTTTGTCCCCGGCCCTGGTTGGTTGTGCGGGTGGCAACCACTCGATGTGTCCTTTCACGTCGATGTTTCTCTCTCTCTCTCTCCCTTCCTCTCTCTCCCTCCCACTCTATCTGTACAAAAAATGGAAAAATATCCTCGGGTGAGGATAAAACAAAACAAAACAAAACAAAAAAAATTGCTATCTTTATTAAATAAGATGAATACATAAGCTCTTAAGTCCAATTTTACAATTCTGCCACTGTAACTAGGATCTACTTAGCGACCGTCGAAATCATTAACAGAATTAGCCATATGTCTATATGACAGTGGTAAATGGGCAAAAACCAGGAAGGAAGCTCCAACTAATAGACACAATCACCTTTTGTTAAGGCTGGAAGGAGATGGGCCTAAAAGTCTTAAGTGACATACACACACAGTGCCATTTTTTTAAAAAAAAAGACAGCCTACAATTACCAACAAGGCTGGGCAGAATGACTACGACAACAACGTGCACAGAATGTTTAGGTCAGGTCAGAATTCCCATTCAGAACTTTTAAAACCACAGTTTGCATGCTTGTCCTCTTGAATATTACTCTCGTGCAGGAGGTTATTCAGAAGAGAGACAGCGGGCTCTATGGCAACCACCCGGAGTGAAGGCTCCCGGAGCAGAGAGAAAAGGCGGCCGGGGCTGGGGTCAAAGGGCGCGCAGGCAGCGGAGGCCGCCCGACACCCAGGGCGAAAGGAGCGGGCGGGCGACTGGGGTGGCGGGCGCGGGCAGACACCTCACCTCGGGATGCCGAGGCGGCGGCTCCTCCCCGGACTCGGACCGCGGCGGCTCCTGCCGCACGGGAGCCACGGCCTTGCCGCCAGGCTGTTTGCTCTGCTCCTCCTCCATGCTGGGTGTCACGTAAAAAGGGAGCTGCTGGAGACCGACACTCGCTCACTCTTTCTGGGCCAGGCTCGAAAACCTCGCCTTTCTCCGTCGAGAAATTACCGGCTCGCGTTCCCGCGGCGGCAGCCACACAAACTCGGGCAGACACCTCCCACTTCCGGGAGCGTGTGGCGTCTGCACGCCGCGCAGGCGCAGTGAGCCGGCGCGCACGGAAAGCGAGCGTCTGTGCCGACGGGGGCGGGAGGAAAGTGGGCTTACGGGTCGCCACACGGAGGCTGCGCAGCTTCCTGTTGAAGTTACTCAGGGTCTGAACTTTAGTCCTTAAGAGGATGCCGCCAGAGAAAAGCATCCCACCAACATTTTCTGAGAAGGAAAACGAGGAGTACTAGATTGAGAGGTGAATTTTAACCATAGGAAATAATAAATTAAGACGTCCTCTTCTGGAAAAGAAAAAGAAATGGTTCTGGACTTACTGAAAAACTGACAATGTATGAAACAACTTTTCAGACAGTGGGCAACAGGCAGTTCTGGACTGTTGCACCTGACAGAAAAGAAACAAGGTGATTCCTCTATTACCCTGGCTTTCTGCCTAGAGGAAATTTTCAGTTTGGGGGCAGGGAACTCAAATAGGGAAACTGAGGAGATTGGGGTGAGTTTAGGGGGTTTGTGGAGGCCAACTTGGGTAGAATTTATGAGGTGGAGTTTGTGGAGAAAGAGCTTCAGAAATCTACATAGAAGTACCCTTGAATCTTTATTAGAATAAAAATCAATGAATCTGTCATGGGAAACTCCACAAGGCCTGGAAAGAACAACTTTGGGGGAGCAATAAACCCAACACTTCTCGGAACACACACAAGACTAGGAATCATGAGTTTCTCACAGCCAGAGTGGAGAGACTGTTAAATATGTCTAATTCCCTCTAAAGGGCTGTGACAAAATCCAGAACTCAACAACATTAAATTCAACATATCAGGCATCCAGTCAAAAATAAATAGACATACATGCCAAGGAGTAGGAATATATAGCATATAGGCAATATAAACATCCAGAAAGGACAAATATGATGACATTAATAGGCAAGGATTTTAAACACCTGCTATAAATGCACTCAATATGCTCAAGGATTTAAAGGAAAAGATGGCAATAGAGAAACTGAAGAGTTTTTGTTTGTTTTTTTAAAGAAGAAGCGAACAGAAATTCTGGAGATGAAAAATATCTGTAATTTTAAGACTCTCTGGATGGGATCGTTAGTACATCAGGCACTGCAGAAAAAAACAATTTGCAGATGTAGCAATATAAACAATTCGTAAATATAACACACAGAGAGAAAATAGACTGAAAAAGAAATGACAGAGCCTCGGCGACATATGGGACAATATAGAAGAGGCTAATTGTAGCCCCAGAAAGGGGATGACAGCGAAGAAAAAAATATTTGAACCATGGACAGAAGTGTTCCGAATTTAATGAAACCTATAAACTACAGATCCAAGAAGGTCAAAGAAACCCAAGTAGGATAACTATAAAGGAAACATCAGACCAAATCATCACACTGGTGATAAAGAGAAAATCTTGAAAGTTGCTAGAGAAAAAAAGGTACATTATTTACAGAGAACCAATAATAAGAAATTTCATAACTTCTCATTAGAAATTATGTAAGCCAAAAGAAAATGAAATGACAACTTTAAAGTGCAAAAACAAAACAAAACTATCAACTTGGAATTCTATACTCAATAGGGTGAGATAGACTTTTTCAGACAAACCCAGGAAAGCCACATCCTGAAGTAGAGCCATCCCAGCAGACTTTCAGACGTGTGAGGAAGAAAACTGAATGCCTATTGTCACCACTGGGATAGTTTATTATTCAGCATTATTATAAAGATAACAAATACAGGATCATGAGAGGACATAGAATTTCCTAAAAGAGAATGAAATGGGACACAATTGGAAATCTACCAATTTACTTGTAACATCATCTGTTTCTTCCTAAGTAGACTGTATTTTTTCCCTTATAACTACAGACTTACCTTTGTGTTTATAAACTAAGGTGTATAGGCTCAGAAGTTATAAAGACTTCTAAGGTACAACTTCTGAACTAATCATCTCTTTTCACCAGTATTTATTCATTTTCTCCAGATAATGACTGAGTCCTGATATACAACTGCAGAGAAATTAATGAGAATTGTTCATCTCATTTCTTTTTCCTAAAGATATATTGTCTCTCAAAGAAGAAAAAAATCACTCAATGAAGTTATCAGAATCCACATTACATGAATATTAATAAGCACTAGTTGCAAACTGTTTCACTTGAACTTTTTTATTTGATACATGTGACTCAATTGTTAAAGAAGATTCACTATCAAGGGCCGATCACTTATCTACACTGCAAATGATTAAGTCAAATCTTAGTACTGCTGCCTGTATCTATGAGGATGTTAAAATAACATTAAACATTCATTCATTCAACAAATATTTATTGAACATCTTTGTGCCAAGAATGAACATTGAACAAAATGACAAAAACTTTGCCCTAGTGGATTTTACATTCAAGAAGTGAATTACAGACAGTAAACAAAAAAAATAAAATAAAATAAAGTGTTTACAATACGGAGAAATGATAAGCAGGTAAGTGGGATGGAGGGATGTCCATTTGAGGAGGGGGGTTGCAATTGTATATAGAGTGATGATGGGAGGTCTACCTAATGATGTGCTATTTGAGCAAAGACTTGAAAGAGGTGAGGGAGCAAACTGTGAAGATACCTGTGGCAAGAGAATTTCAGGCCGAGCAAGCACCAAGTGAAAAAAGCCCTGAACTGAGAACATGCCTGGAATGTTCAAGAAATAAATACCACATAGTTCCATACAAATGCTCCTTGACTTAAAATGGGGTTAGGTCCCAATAAACTTAATAAATTGAAAATATCATAAGTCCAGATGCATTTAATACCATGCTCTGTATCAGTTGGTTGCCCTAGTGATCACGTGTGGTTAAGTGGGAGCTGTGGCTCATTGTAGCTGCCCAGCATCATGAGAGAGTATCCTACGGCATATCGCTAGCCTGAGAAAAGATCAAATTAAAAATTCGAAGTATGGTTTCTATTGAGTGGGAATTACTTTCACACCATCATAAAGTTGAAAAATCTAAAGTGGAATCATCCTAAGTCATACTGTCTGTATTTCCCTTTGTGTAATATCTGCGTTCAGGGGACCCAAATGTTCTGTTGCTCTCTGTCTGTCTGTCTGTCTCCCCTCCCCCCCCACCCCCGCCTTTAGGGAAAAACCTCTCAAAAGAAATATCTCTTTTCTCACACCATCCATTTACTATACAATTTACCCTAATTTGGATTCCACCCCCACAGTTCAGGGTCCTGACTGCTCCATTGAAGTCACCAATTATCTCCATGTGGTTAAACCCAGTAGGCTCTTGTCAGAGCTCATTCTAGGTGACCTTTCAACAGCATCCAACATTGTTAGCCTTTCTTTACTTTCTTGAAACACTGTCTTACTTTGGTCTCCGTGACAACACACTTGCCTGGCTTCCTTCATTTCTTTCTGGCCATTTCTTCTTAATCTCTCTGGTCAGTTCCCCCTCTTAAATTCAATTGTATAATGTAGGAATTTTTTCAGAGCTGGATATTAGACCCTCTTCTTTTCTATTATATTCTTTTCCCAGTGTAGACTTTCACACAAAGTGTTCTTATCCATTCTTATAGCTTCATTTACCATTCATTTGCCAGTGGCTCTAAAACTTATATTTCCACCCCAGATCTTAATTCTCAGCGCCAGATCCACATATCTGATTACCTTCTTACAAACACCTCAAACTCAATATATCCAAAAGTGAACTAGTCTTCCCACTAAAATCTACAACTTCTCGGTTGTTTCTTTTCTTAGCAAATGACTCTATAATCTGCACGGTTGATGGGACCTGAAATATAGCATTTACTTTACTCATCTTTTTCACCTTCCTTAGTCAAGATGACTGCGATACTCAAAATGATCTGGGTTGCGCTCTCTCTGTAGGTCTAGCATGAAATACCTTCTATCTCCTTTCATATTGTCTTCTGTCAGTACCTAAACATCCTATGCTAGTTTTTCATGCCAGGGCTTTCCCAGGCTAATTTCTGTGATTCTTTAGATTAGAGATTCAATTTTACTTCTACAGAATGTTTCCCCCAAATCTCCAGATTTTCTTGGATTCTTTCCTTTATAAGATCTGCTTCTTCCCTTGGCTTTTTTTTTTTTTTTAGAATAAAGATTGAACCATGTAAGAAAAAGACCTTAAGTGTCAGTGGTTTAAATAACATAGAAGTTTATTTCTCTTGGAAGTTAAAGCTTGGCTCTAATATGCAAAGATGTCAAGGGCCCTGGGTTCTTCTTTGTTGTTGCTGCACCATTCCTAGTATGTTGTTCTCATTCCCATGTTCCAGACAGTTCGACATTCTGTGTGCAGTCCAGCCAGTGGAGAGGGGGAGAAATTGAAAAGGAGAACGTACATTTCCTTTTATGGTCATACCCAGAAGTCACGCAGATTATTTATGCTTCTATCCCATCTCTTCGAACTTAGTCACATAACCACACACTAGTTGCAAAAGAAGCTGGAGGAAATGTTGTAAAGGTTCTGTGAACAGTTAACTTTAAATAGTTGAAAGTCTATTGACAACTAACAGTCTCTGCCACAATCCTGGTGAATACACATATTCATGCAAACCCTTATTCCTGCACATAATGCACACTCATCCCTTCCCCTAATGGAGACATGCCCCAAATCCTATTCAAATTAGTGCATCTAGCTCAATACCTACAATCTCTGGGTGATGTTCAGTCCTCTCCATCAGGCCCAAATTGGGCTATTTTTTTTTTTTTTTTTTTGGTCTAGCCACTTATAAACTAAAAGACAAGTCATCTTCTCTGACCATATCCAATATAAAATAGTAGGAGCAACAGCAAGATAGCTGGAATAAGAATGCTTATTTGGAAAAAAAATAAGAAGAACCAAAAATATAGAACGTTACTGGGCCATAGAAATGAGCAAGAACTGAAAAGACTTTGGACCCAGATTGATTAAACTCATGTGACAAGTGTTGTTTCTGCTCTCAGGGGGATGGATGGGGAGGGGATCCTTTCTCCCATCTTATCTTCTGTGGCTCCCATCTGGCAATATACATTTCTCTTATACTTGCTTAGCAAGAATTCCTTTCCTATGTAAAATATTTGAAAGTTTAAATCATTTTATTTAGATTAGATACAAATATATGTGTGTATATATATGCCTATGAGATATATATGTGTATATATGTATATGATTTGTGAGTTAAATAATTCCTTATTCTAATAGGCTCTCTTCTTGTCTGATATTATGCAATTGCTTAGAAACATTTGTGTAATCTGGTATACAAATCATGCTCCAGCTCATCTAGAACACAAAACAAACAATGTCCTCTTCTCTACCCACAGCATGAGGATGTGTAACCTTGCTGACAAGCACAGACCTGCATGACAATCCAGAGACGGGAGGTATGTACAAATTTTGAGATATTTTGTTAAATAAATCTTCCAAGAACATTTATTTTGCACATTTTTATATGTTTTTGTTTAAACATGCTTAAATATGCATATTAAATATTTCAGGTTTATTTTGAAATTGAGCAGAAAAACAATTTTGGTTTTCATTATATAAAATACAATTGATTTTTTATTATAGAGAACTTCAGGTATTTATTCATAAATATTTGAATTATAAAAATTAACTTGAAGGTTATAATTTAACTAAGTCAGATTAAGAAATAAGAAAATCAAAGTAAACACCAGAAATACATTGTATTTTATGAACACATAATTTATATTTGTATTTTTGTTTAGCTTCCTAATGTCCTCATATTGTATCAGAAACTCACCAAATTATTTTGAAAATTATAGCTTTTCTCTGATTATAAAACTCATACATATTCAATTGGAAAAATTTTAAAAATAAAGAGATGCATTCCATTGAGATTTTAATAGCAATAGCCACAGATAGCATCTCTCTTTAATGACAACCCACAGGCTAGTTTCTTGAAATGCCACCAGAGGGCGATAAATCCAAAAATTGCTCTAGCTTGATGTATACCTAGGCTTCTATGCTGTGGAGATGGCAACAGGTTTTCAGTTTTAGTTTGGGAAGGCATCAAAAAAAAAAAAAAGAGGAATTAAATTTTTTTAGTTGGTGCCCATCCAGTGTGGCTTAATGGACTGAGTGTCGTCCCATGGTCTGAGAGGTCCAGGTTCTATTCCTGTGGTTTGATCCCCAGAAGGGGGCTTGCAGGAGGCAGCCTATCGATGTTTCTCTCTCACATCAATGTTTCTATCTCTATCTCTCTAAAATATATATATATATATATACGCGCGTGTGTGTGTGTGTGTGTGTGTGTGTGTGTGTATCCTGGCCGGTATGGCTCAGTGGTTGAGCATTGACCCATGCACCAAGAGGTCACCTGTTCGATTCCCAGTCAGGGCACATGCCCTGGTTGTGAGCCAAATCCCCAAGGGGGGCATGCAGGAGGCAGCCAGTCTATGTTCTCTCGCATTGATGTTTCTATCTCTCTCTCCCTCTCTCTAAAATCAATAAAGAAAAAAATTTTAAAATTATAATAATAAATATATGTGTGTGTATATATATATATATTTAAACATTTTAATTGGTAAAAAATTGTATCTGAATAAATGTTAAATTTTTAAAAAGGTTTATCACTACAATTTTTGGAACCTAATCATACATTCCTGAATATAACAAACATTTATTGAGTGCTGACTGTTAATTGTGATAGGTGCTGTTGATAAAACTTGGTCCTGGCATTTTAGGATTAATATTTTTTTCAGGAGAAAGAGGCATATGAAAAATTAATTAGGATCAAATTTGTTTTGTACCACATTAAAAACCTTTCAGTGCAGTAAAGGACAGGATTAATTCTGCTGAAGGAAAACGTTTCAGGAGAATGTTCCACAAAAGAACTGGACCTTACAAAATATGTAGACACTTTTGAACTTCCAGGCTAACGTGTGGATTGAACATATGCATTTAATTTTCCTCGTTCTTGAACAAACATACAGATAAGGACTGTTTTGTTTCAAAACCTAAACCCACAAAAATTAGAATAGGAGACAACAGCAACAAAATTTTGGAGGCTAAAACTGACAGATCAGTGGTAAGTGATTTAACAGACCTGAGAAAACAAAATCTCAAGCCATCAATGGGAAAGCTAAGAACTAACCATATTTATACAGCAAAATCTTCAAAGGGCACACAATTCCTGGACTCTTTAAGTTAGTACGAAAGTCTAGGACTGGAGGTAAAGGGGAGAGATGAGCTGATACAAGGAAGACCAGGGTGACAGCTGTTTGAGAAGAAATTGGAGCTGTTGGACTTCCCTGGCAGAAGGCTGAATACTTATTCTCATTTAGGGGGAATAAGAAGTCACCCCCACCCCAAATCTCTTCTCCAACTTGGTTCCCAGAATGCAGCAACTAGATCATTACTGTTTAAATGGAATATCCTCAGAGAGAGAAGAGGAAATACTACATCCACTAAACAAGAACCAAGGCTATGGAAATGGAAGATTTGGGGGGAAAAAACTAGAAAGAGCTCTTGGAAATTAAAAACATGGTAACAGAAAACAAATGCTAGCCACTACATTTAAATTTAAGTTACTTAAAATTAATAAAGTTAAATATTCAACTCCTTATTAGCACTGGTTACATTTCAAATGCTCAAAAGCCACATGTGTGGCTAGTGGCTAAGGTATTAGACCGCTCAGATGTAGAACATTAGCTTTTATTAAACCTAATGAAAATAATAATGAGAAGGAATTTTGCAGGCAAAGGAGGCAAGAATACATATCAGGGAACATTCAGGGCAGTAAGAATAAAGGTGAGCTTTGAGGGATCTGGCATGATACTCTTCTCGTGTGTGTGTGTGTGTGTGTGTGTGTGTGTGTGTAAAATATACATAATAGGTTTATACTTTAACTATGGTTCTGATGCTTACCTTACCTGTGTGTTCAATAAAATGTCTCCAAAGTCCTCTCTGTGGTGCTGTGTGTACACTTAGTTCAATGGTTCTAAGCTGCATGTTGTTTCATATAATTATCCACCATATTTTAAAATCAATTTTTCTTGTATTGTTACCTTGTTTATCTCCAGCTCCCCACTACACAGCTCACAGTAATGAACAGTCTCGCATTTGTCCTTTGTTGACCCAGGTGAGCATTTTTCTAGGACAGAAGTTTTGCCAGGGTGTAAGAATCACTTTGTGGGAAGATGTGGAAGGGTGTTACTTATTAAAATGCAGATTGTCGGCCCTTCCCTTGGAGATTCTGACTTAGTAGATCTGAAGGGGCCCCCCCTGGAATTGTTAGGTTTCTTTTCTTTTCTTCTTTTTTTTTAATCCTCACCAGAGGACATTTTTCCATTTTTTGTTCAAATAGAGCGGGAGGGAGAGAGAGGAAGAGAGGGAGAGAGAAAAACATCGACCTGAAAGGGACACATCGAGTGGCTGCCACCCGTGCGACCAACCAGGGTCGGGGACAAAATGCAACTGAGGCACGCACCCTTAGTGGGAACTGAACCCGGGTCTCTCTGGACCTCAGGCCAAAGCTCTAACCGCTGAGCCAAACCAGCCAGGGCCGGAATTGTTAGGTTTCACAAGTGCCCCAGGTGAACTCATTGTCAGGTGTATTTGGGGGAAAATGATCAACAACATAGCCTGGAATGGAATTGCTGGGCCAAAGGTACAATTTCTTCATTTCACTCTTCGCCAGAAAGACTGGTCCATTTAGCTTTTTGTCCCAACTGGATGTTTAGTAAAAGATAAATATGGCATTCAAAGTATTAGAGAAAGTGTAAGAGATTCAATTACATGGGTGTTGGAACAACTGGTTAACCATTTATATAACTATAAAGCGACATCTTTCACACACCACACAGAAAGAAATTCCAGGTGGAGTAAAGAGCTAAATGTTAAAAGTAAAACATGAACTGTAAAAATAAATTATAAGATAACATTTGTATTATCTTGGAGTGAAAAAGCACTCTTAAGTGAACTACAGACTCAGAAATCATAAAAGAAAAAATCCTGACACATTTTACTTCATATTAACATTTAAAACTTCTAAATCCCAAAGCCCGCCATATTAAATTAAGATGAGCAATATCCTGGGGGGAAATAGTTGCAACATACACAAGATTAAAAACCAAAATATTTTGAAAGTACACACAAATCAAGAGAAGCTCAACAATCAAAAAAATTTACAAAGGATGTATGGAAGCAACTCTCAAAAAAAACACACAAGTAGTCGATAAATATATTAAAAGATATTCAACTTCACTAATAGGCAGAGATAAATCTAACAAAATGTGCTTGTATGCTAAAAACCACAAGACAATGATGAGAGAAATAAATAAGATCTAAGTAAATGGGTAGATGCACTGTGCTCACAGATGGGAAGACTCAATGTTGTTAAAACACCAGTTCTCCCCAATATGATCTATCAATTCAATGAAATCCCAATAAAAATCCCAGCCAACTTTTTTATAGAAATTAATTAGCTGACTATATTTAAATAGGAAAGCAAAGGACTTAGAATAGCCAAAGTGATTTTGAAGAAACCAAGTGGGAGAATTTATACTACCTGGTTTCAAGACACCCTATAAAACTATAATAATGAAGAGAGTGTGGTATCGGCATAAGGAAAGGCATATAGATTAATAGAACAGAATAAAGAATTCAGAAATAAACTTACACATATATGGTCAATTGATATTTTACAAAGGTACCAAGGTAATACAATGGAGAAAGCCTAATCTTTTCAGTAAATAATGCCGGAACACTGGTTTTCCATATGCAAAATATGAGCCTTAGCATACACCATATACAAAAATTAACTCAAAATGGATCATACAACTAAATGTAAAAACTAAAACTATGAAGCTTCTAAAAGAAAACATAGGAAAACTATTTGCAATCTTGGACTATGCAAAGATTTCTTAGATATTACACAAAAAGGACAAGCTATGTAAAAAAAAAAAAATGTGAACTGGATTTCATCAAAATTATGAACTACAGCTCTTTGAAAAACACTACTAAGAAAATGAAAAGACAAGCCACAGACTAGAAGACAGTATTCACAAAACACATATGTGATTTAAGACTTGTATACATCATGCATATGTAGAGTCTAATGAACAAAATGAACTAACAAGCAAAATAGAGACAGAGATAGAGAGCTGTTGGGGGGGAGGAGGGGTGAAGGGATTGAGCAAAAGAGAAAAACTCATGGGCCCAGACAACAGTGTGATGATTGCCTGGGGTAGGGAGAAGGTGGAGGAGGGTGTATGGGAGATAAATGGTGATGGATAGAGACTTGACTTGGGGTAGTGAACACACAATACAGTATACAGATGATGTGTTGTAGAATTGTGCACCTGAAACCTGAATTTTGTTAATCAGTGTCACCCCCAATAAATTCAATAAAAGGGATAAAAAGACTTGTATCCAAAATATATAAAGAACTCTTTTAATTCAGTAGTAAGAAACAACCTTTTTTTTTAAGTAGGCAAAGTGATTTAAACAGATGCTTCACCAAAGAAGAGATACCAATGGTAGATAGATACACAAAAAGATGCTAAACATCATTAAGCATTAGAGAAATGCACATTAAAACCACAATGAGATCTCACTACACACTTACTACAAAAGCTAAGATTAAAAAAAGAAAGGAGGAGAAGGAGGAAGGGGAGGGGAAAGGAGGCGCAGAAGGAGAACAAGGAAAAAAGAAAGAAAATAAGACCTGACAATACAAAGTGCTATTGCAGATATGGAGTAATTAGAACTTGAATGCACTACTGGTGGTAATGCAAAATGGTACAGCTCCCCGCCCTGGCCGGTTTGGCTCAGCGGTTAGAGCGTCAGCCTGCGGTCCCGAGAGACCCGGGTTCGGTTCCCGCTAAGGGCATGTACCTTGGCTGCAGTTTGTCCCCGGCCCTGGTTGGGTCGTGTGGGTGGCGGCCACTTGATGTGTCCCTTTCACATCGATGTTTCTCTCTCTTCCTCTCTCTCCTTCCCACTCTATCTGAGTAAAAAATGGAAAAAAAAAAATGTCCTCGGGTGAGGATAAAAAAAAAAAAATGGTACAGCTCCTTTGGGAAACATTTTAATATTTTCTTTAAACTTAACTACATAATTATACTACTCAGCAGCCCCAGTCCTAGATATCTATTTAAGAGAAATGAAAACAAATGTCCACAAAAAGAACTATATGCCAATGTTTATAGTAGCTTTGTTCATAGTCAACAACAACAAAAAAACTAGAAACAAGCTAAATGATTAGCTGGTAAATGGATAAACATTTATTGCACATCCATACAATGTATGCTTAGTATAAAAGATTGAACTACTGATACACAGCTTGAATGAATCATAAAAGCATTATGCTAAATGAAAGAAGCTATACTTAAAAAATTGCATACTGGCATTTATATCACATTCCAGAAAAGGCAAAATGCTAGATTATTTCAATGGCTACCAAAGGCTGAAAGTTGAGGGAAGAGATTAATTACAAAGGGCCATGAAGGAACTGTTCATGGTGATGAAAATGTGCTACACCTTGGTTATCTTGGCTACATGGCGTTGTATGCCTTTGACAAAGCTCATTGACTTGTATACTTAAAAAGGGTTAGTTTTACTCTATAAATTAGACTTCTATAAACATGAAATTTTAAAAAGTATATAGTTTAACTGTGGTAGGCAGTTAGACGGACAAGATCAGAGCAAGAACAATAAGCCAGGTTCAGAAGGTCACTGGGGCAGAAAGCCCCAGGTGCCTAGCAACAGGCAAAACTGGGAAAACAGGGACCTCACACCCAGAGTGACCTTTCCTCTCCAGGCATATTGCTGGTCATGCCGTCTAGACCCCCCGACCTTTCATATCTCTGGTCATGCGGTTCGGACCCTCTCCTGACATTTCCTTGTCATGCGAGTTAGAATTCTTAGAAGGGGAACAAACAACGGGACCAGAGAATAACCCTTAAGCATTAAGCTCGAGGACAAGGAGGTTCTGACCTGCATCAGATACATCTAGGCCTCAGTTGTGTTTTATCTCCAGGCCCAGAAAAGCAACAAAACCAGACAAAGGATGCCAGGGCTGACCTCAGGACCAGCTGCATTGACTAATGATCTAGTGCTGACCAATTAGTGGAGACCACAACTCTGCAAGGACACACCTGATAGATGGATGAATATTCTACTGAGGTCCTCCCCCTAGGACCTCCCCTGAAATCTCCACCCTTAAAAGCCCTTAGGAGGGAGGACCCAGTGCACTCTCCCTCCAGAGAGTATGCCGGCTATTAAGAACACTAAAAGAATGATTCATGTTATTTCTGCTATGTCTCTTAAAATATGTGAGAGTATTTGCTAATGGAAAATACCTGTTTCTGAAAGTTATTACTTTTCATTGTTGCTAAAAATTAAGGTTTCTAAGAATTAAGAATTCTAATTAAGTAGGAAAAAAGAGTATATGGTTTTGATAATATAGAATTGAAAGTAGGTTGTCCTAAAGTTGCGTATTTCTGTATGAGTTAAGAAAAAACAAACTGAAAGGAACTAGAAAAGTCGCAAGACCATGTAAGTTGCAGAGGGTTTAGAAGATTTGTGCAAGTTAAGGATTATGTAGAGGGAAGAAGCAAAAAGAAAAAATATAAGATTTTTCTTTTTCTTTTTTGTTAATCCTCACCCACTGATTTTTTAGATAGACTGGAGGAGAGGGAGAGAGACAGAGTGAGAGAAACATTAATGTGAAAGAGACACATCATTGGTTGCCTCCTGCACGGCCCCAGGGATTGAACCTGTAACCGAGGTACGTGACTTTGACTAGGAATTAAACCCGAGACCCTTCGGTCCACTGACTGACACTCTAACCTCTGAGCCAAACCAGCTAGGGCTCCCGTTGATTTTTCAAAACCAATTGTAATTTCCCCACAGGAACCCCAGGTACAATTGACAGTAGGGAACAAATTAATTGATTTCTTAGTCTGATATACTTTCATTTGTAATTCTGAGTGTTATCTTTAAATGTTGTTATAAAATAAGCAAATTTCTTTGTCAATTGCATTATAATCATATCTATAACCATGTCATTTAAACTATTTTTTGTCATTTAAAGACAGTCATTATTTCATTCTGATGCATTTGCAAAAATATTACATCTTCTGATTTATTCTAAAATATGAATTTTTGAGAATAAATTTTGATATCATTCCTTTAAACTGGATGAAAATTTATAGAATTCTAAGAAACAACTAGATTCATGGAAATACTGGCAAATAATCAGGATAAACAAGAATTAACTATGGGACTGAATAAACAGAAGATAATTATTATTCTTATAAATTTGTTCAAACTATTGCTGATTTTTAAAAACTTGTTTGTGCCCTGGCCAGTGTGGCTCAGTTGGTTGGATGACATCCCATGCACCGAGGGGTTGCCAGTTCTATTCCTGGTCAGGGCACATGCCCGGGTTTCAGGCTCAATTCCCATTGGAGAGTGTGCAAGAGGCAGCCAATCAATGTTTAGCTCTTACATCAGTGTTTCTCTCTTTCTCCTATTCTCCCTTATCTCTCTCAATATTTTTAAAAACTTGTTTGTTAAAGCAACTTGGTAAATTGTACCTTAATAAACAATATTAAGCATTTATATTTTTCTTCATACTTGAGCCCTCCAGAATTTAAAAATTCTTAAAAAGGATTATTATTTTCATGGTGATATGTTTGCATAAATTCAATAGGAATCTCATTTCTTCATAACAGGACACAAGAAGCCAGTTTCCAATTGTCATTTTATTAACCAAGACTTTGACTGGAATGTCATGTTTGAGAAATACATGCCTAGAACCTGGATGTTAGCAAAAAGCTTTAGGGAACGACGATTGACTTTGAAGCCAATAAAAGCCCCTTGGAAAATGGTCTGGTACCTTGCTTCTTTATATGGTTCATGGCAGTCTTTCCATGTAAGGGATGAAGGTCACTTTCCTGGGAGATGGTAAGGAATGAACCTCAAGACATTTGGGGACCTCAAAAACGTGAGTAATTGACACAAACTTATAGGCATTGCAGGCAAAGCCTGATGGAAACTGTGTGGCTCGGCTTCTTTGCCCTGAGAAGCTAATTAAAGTTCAATCTGAAAATTTCTTGTGAGATTCCAACAAATCAGATTTAAGAAAGCCTATACAATCAATTGCTATTCCTATTGTGTTTATACAAATAATCAGGCCAAATTGAAACTGGACTTAATGCAGTAAATCAATTGTTCTTGACTTGGTTCTTTAATAAAAATGAGAGTGATTTTAGGGGGGGAAGTGTGTTTCAAGAGCATCTATAACAGACAATTATAGATATGAAACTGTAGTTCAGTTAACTGTAAAATTTTATTTTTCACCTATTAACTAGATCCTGAATTTTTCTAGTTTTCTGAAGTATTTTGGCTACAACCCTCTAACTTCCATGGAAATGGAAGAAAAATTGACAGTGGGGAATTATAAAAGTATGAAATTATAATTCACCCCACCATTCTTTTAACAAGGTTTTTGCAAATACTAACTGACTAACATGTAGCTTGTAGATAAAAACAATTTTGTATAAGAAAATCCTAGGAGCTAACTTCAGAAGATGCAGACTCCAACCTTCAGTCATCCCAGTTCCAGGAGATTTGCTGACTTTCAACCATAGACCCAGGATGATGTATACCAGACCATCATTTGACCAGCTTTGAGATCCTAATCAGAATGAACTGTGCTAGCCTACACATAGGGAACTTTTCAACTCCCTCCCCTTGATTTCTTTGTTCTGCTTTCCCTCTCCTTCCTTATAAAAACCTCTGCCTGCACTGAGATGAGGAGATGGGCTTTGTGACAAGGGTTTAACATCTTCTCAGGTATCTGGCACTTAAATAAACCATGTTCCTTTTTACTAGCATCTGTCTCACAAGTTTGACTTTTGTGGTGGCAGGCAGTTGAACCTTGGTTCCAATTACACCAAGGCCCAAAGTCAGGTATATGGGCACAGGTGTTTCTTGGAATTTATGTTCCATGTCCTTCTTCACATCTACTTAGACCATCCAAGGCATAAGCCATAGAATACACAGCTTGTTTGACATTGTTTGCAGTTCTTCACTGAGACACATCCAGATGGGTATTTTTAAGATCTTTCAACTTTTCTCCAGTACAGAATTTATCAGACATGTATTCTTCCCTATTCATCTGTCATATTCACTCTATGGTTAATGTTGTATGGAACACTGTTTTGGGGCCAACTACAGTTAAAAGCAGTTTGTCAGAATTCAATGGTCAGAACATCATTTGGATCTTTGCCAGTATATACATCATAAAGAAATTTTTTTAATCCTGGTATACCAGTTTTTGGTTTTGCATACCCAATGCTTCCACCAAAATATGAGATATATTCAAGGCTTTGCAGTGAGGGCTGAGGTCATCGAGGCTTCCCTCATTATCTATGTTCTTTCAGTTATGTTACGGTAAACCATCTCCAGCACAAAAGGGCTGAATTCAATACTAGATGCATAAAGTACAATGACTCTGGCAGTGGATTTCTTTATAGCATCAATAATTTTTTCATTTTCTCATTGGAATGGACTTTGAGAAATGGTTTCAGAGAATGCAATATAGAGAATGCAATATGACACTCTCCAATTTTTCCTTTAAAAAAAATTTTTTTTTATCTTCACCCAAGGACATTTTTGCATTTATCTTCAGATAGAGCAGGAGGAAGAGAGAGAGAGAAACATCGATGTGAGAGAGACACATTGAGTGGTTGCCACCCACATGAACCCAACAGGGGCCAGGGAAAAACTGCAACTGAGGTATATGCCCTTAGTGGGAACCGAACCCGGGCCTCTCGGGTCCACGGCCCGACACTCTAACCGCTGAACTAAACCGGCCAGGGCTCCTTAAAAGTTTTTACTCCATATTTGTTTTTTGTTTGTTTTTTAGAGAGAGAGGAAGGGAGAGAGAGATAGAAACATCAATGATAGAAACATCAATGAGAAAGAGCAACATCAACATCGATCTGCTGCCTCCTGCATGGCCTCCACTGGGGATCGGGCCTGCAACCCTGGCATGTGTCCTGACTGGGAATTGAACCAGCAACCTCTTGGTGCATAGGTTGACACTCAACCACTGAGCCACACCAGCTGGGCTTTAGTCCGTATTTTCCATAATCATCATTAGCTGTGATAGCACCTACTCAGACCCAACCAAAGTGTTGGATAAGCTTTACCATGGCCTCTGCCTGGACCTTATCACTGGCTACAGTGTGAAGATAAGACCCAAACTGGTATTTGTCACTGAGAATTGAGCAGGTAGAGGCATAGCCCACCTACAATGGAATATTCATGAAGTTATTAGAAAGCAATAACATAATCTCAAATTAAACAATCTCAAAATATTTTTATTGGTGAGGGAGGGAACGTAACAGTTCTTCTCCCTTTATCGTCATACCCTTTCATAGACAAAAAGACTTCTAGTCCTTTCCCTACTCTGTGTGTGGGGACTGCTGAGGGAAAATTTTGGGCCTCCTTATTCATCCTTTTCCCATTTCACCCCAAGGGAATTGGAGGAGCTAATTATTAAGATGCTGACATTTAATGCTCCACTTTTCACAGGTGAGGTCACAGCATTGAAAAGGAGTTCAGCCCTGGCCACGTTAGCTCAGCGGTTAGAGCGTCGGCCCCAGGACTGAAGGGTCGCAGGTTCAATTCCAGTCAAGAGCATGTACCTGGGTTGCAGGTTCAATACCCAGTCCCAGTCAGGGTCATGTGGGAGGCAACCAATCAATGTGTCTCTCTCACATGGATGTTTCTCTCTCTGTCCCTCCCTGCCTTCCACTCTCTCTCTAAAAAAAAAAAAAAAATCAATGGAAAAATATCCTCGGGTGAGGATTAGCAAAAGAAAGAAAAGGAATTAATTTGCCCTTTTGTCTAGGTTCTACTGAGACCAGGTGTGCAAGTCAAGCCATCCAGGCTTTCTCAGATCTAACTCCTCATTCATACAAATGATGGAGTGAATAGGCTCACAATGTATTTGGCAGGCCTATTTCCCTTCCCTCTCTTCCCCTCCTCTGACCCTCCCCTCTACTCCCCTCCCCTCTCCTCCCCTCCCCTCCCCTCCCCTCCCCTCCCCTCTATGACTCTCCCCTCCTCTGACCCTCCCCTCCCCTCCCCTCTACTCCCCTGCCCTCCCCTCCCCTCCCCTCCCCTCCCCTGGTGGTGGAAAAGAACTGAAGTGAGTATCAGTCTGGCTCTCCCAGTCTGTTCCTTTTTTTTTTTTTACTTTCAATGTTATTTTCACAGCCTGGCCTTTCAATCTCACTATGACAGCTCATCTTATTCCCTTTCACCAATCCTGTAGACTGTGCATTATATATGAAGGCCCTAGTTCATTTTGTGGCACCTTTAGGGCCAGAAAAGTGCTGGCTACACAAGCCTGGAATTAGTATTTATAGAGCATAAATGGACAGAAATGTTAGATATGGGATATTCTGAGAGAAAATAAATAAATAAAGCCTAATGTGGGCTTTGTGGAGCATTAACAAGATAGAGGTTCAAAGCTGGCAATGGCAAAAAAAAATTGGGAACAGATTCATAACTGAATATTGAAAGTCTTTTGAATCACCCCCTCCATCCATATTCAAAGAAAAAAAATTCTTTAAGAATATGAAATTATTTTTAAAGATATTTTTTGTTTACATTTTAGAATGTGTATTTTTTTAATGGAGGCATATTTGCTGTGTTATGAATCCTAAATCCATTTTTTATTTCATTTAATAATAATACAATGGTGATGATGAAATAGTTATCTAGTGAGCACTTTCTATCAAATACATGCTAAGTGATTTACGCATATTATATCATTTAAGCTTCACACCTGTGTAATGCAGGTGCTATAACTAACCTCATTTGACACTTGACATTGAGTCTTAAAAGGTTAAATTAACCAGTCCAAGGTCATATTGCTGGTTACTATTTCAGGATGAAAACAACACTGTGGCCCAAACCTCCCTTGTGGAAGTATCCATATGTATTTAATTACTTTGTGAAAGCTCTGGACTGGCAACACAGACAAGTGTTCACTCTTTTGTATCCAGCTGCCAAATTGGTATTCTCTGCTCTGACTGCAAATTAGAGTAATCCAATGGGCTTATAAAATTGATGCTGAGGTCCTACCACCAGCCAATGTAGTCAGAATGCCATGAGTTGACATCACTGTAGAATGAGTTAAGCTAACAAGTTCAGATGGATGGAAATGGGAAAAGCAGGGCGTGGGGGATCTCATTGCATTGAAAATGTCGTGGTAAATTCTTTGCTAAGGGAATGTGAATTAGCCCTGGCCGGTTTGGCTCAGCGGTTAGAGCGTCGGCCTGCGGTACAGAGAGACCCGGGTTCGGTTCCCGCTAAGGGCATGTACCTCAGTTGCACTTTGTCCCCGGCCCTGGTTGGTCGTGCGGGTGGCAGCCACTCGATGTGTCCCTTCACATTGATGTTTCTCTCCCTCTCTTCCTCTCTCTCCCTCCCGCTCTATCTGAACAAAAAATGGAAAAATGTCCTCGGGTGAGGATAAAAAAAAAAAAAAAAAAAAGAAAGTACAGAGGGAATGTGAATTAGAGAGACAAGGTGATGGGACTACAGTCAGCTCTTAGCTTCGATGAGTGGGAGGTTAAGTGAAAGAGGTAATGCATAATGAAACAAATGTAGAGTCCCTGGTTTTCTATTTCATAAGATGTGTTGTAAAACCCCAAGCCCTGAATTCAGGAGGAAAAAAAAAAAAAACTGAGATGTATAGAACATTCTCAAAAATAATTACACTGGGGACAGAGAGTATGCAAAATAAGAACATAAAACTAATAAAACTAGCTAACAATTACTGGGAAGAAAAAGAATACCATAAGAATAGACCCAGGCATCAACATTTTTTAAGGGCTTCCCAAGAGATCCCAGTGTAAGGGCAGGATTGAGATTTATTACCTCATCGCTTTCCTCTCAATCCAGTCTTACTTCCCTGTATATCTCCACGTCACTGTTTGGCTTATGGCATATAGGATGTGCCTGTGATTTATGTTGTTTCCAGACAAGCAAATGACACTTAGCTCTGCAGAAGAGATGCTGTGTTCAAGCTAGTGTGACGTGGTTTCTGCAGAAGAACACTGTTTGCAGATGCAGAAGCTGAGAATACTCCCTCTAATTCCCACATTTCATTTAGCTCATCACTGGTGATCTATTTGCTGCAGTGTTCTTCTCCTGACTGAGCTCCTAAGGCATCACCCGGACTTGGGGCCAGCTGCACTTATAAAATGCTTATAAAAGCTTTTGGAGACTTAGCTCTTTTTGTTTGTAAATAAATTAGTCATTTCAGTCCTCTCCCAAAGCAGCAAGTAGTAGGAAGATACTGCCTCTATTGCGATCATCTTACCACTCTTTGATTTTAAGACAATCTGATTTTCAGCAACTTTGCATTTCATTCTTTGATTCAAATCTCAAGTCAATGAATAAAATACAGTAACACTGTGTTCCTGTTGGAGTAAGAGTTCTGTCTTTAGAAGAGTGATTTTAAAGGTAGGCTGTTTCAGAATCGCCCCCAGCGGGTGTTTGGAAATCTGTGTGGAAAGGAAGATTAGCTGTCACAGTATTTGGTTAGCGCTGTTAGCATGAAACAGTTCTGTTAACTTTTGAATACCCCATTGGATATTTGTGTAAGAAAATCTAATAAGCTGAAAATCAAATAAACTTATTTATGATTATCTGAGCCTAGAACACATTTTACATATAGACACAAAATATCTTTTGCATGATTTTAACATACACTGATGTCCATGATGCAACTACAAAGTAAAAAGAAGGGAGAGCATACTCTCTTTGTCTTGCTTTACTAAGAGCTTGTTTGCCATTTCAAGAAATTCTGTCACCAATTTGGGACATTTTACTTGTCAATATGAGACACTGGTATTAGCTTTCATTTGTAGCTGTCACTTTCATTTGTGATGCTACACATAAGGGCAAGCATATGTCTTGTTCATTGTGTCTTTTCCTATCGTGCCCCCATATTGTAGTATTATTTTCCTTTTATCTCCCCTTTATGTTTTAGAGCATTGTATTGATTTTTTTTTATCCTCACCCGAGAATATTTTTACATTTCTCTTCAGACAGAGTGGGAGGGAGAGAGAGAGAGAGAAACATCAATGTGAGAGAGACACATCGTTTGGTTGCCACCCGCACAACCCCAACCAGGGCCGGGGACGAACCGCAACTGAGGTACATGCCCTTGGCTGGAATCAAACCCGGGACTCTTTGGTCCGTCGGCCAGCACTCTAACCACTGAGCCAAACCGGCCAGGGCAGCATTGTATTGATTTTTTTTAAAATTATGTTATGGAAAATAATATTGCCTATGAAATGCATTTTAGAGCAGTTAAGGAAGAGCTAAAATATTTGTTATAAAAAGTGAGTATTGGGGGTTATCGGGTTGAGAACTCTTCCTTTAAAAGGAAATGAAGCCTTACTTTTTAGGCTAGATCCAGAGGACTGTTCAATCTCAACTCTATATTTAATATAAGAATGAAAGATAAACTTCAAAGTATAAAGTGTGCAAGTGTTTTTCAAATTATATCAGTTTGGAAGTACAAAGTTTGAAAATAAATGTACTATTATATAATTATATCACACATATATAATTATATATGCATTATATGTGTTATATGCATGTATGTATGTGTGTATGTATACATATCAAATGAAGACCAGCTTTGAAAATTCACTGAGCAAAGCCAGTTTCATCATACAAACAAAGCTTAATTTAGTTTATTTTGCAAGATTAACTTGATTTGGGTCATTTCTTGATATGCCTCTGGAAATCATATGTAAAACTTGTTTCCCAGGGTTAATATGAGGTAACTATGGAAAATTCTAGTACCATTACCATTCACTGTGAAGAATAAACAGTCACTGCTTTCTCACTGTATAAGCTGCTTTATAACAATATACCTGAGTCTTATTCCATGGTTTGGTTTATGCTGAGTGTTCCGGTTTGCACAGTCTTTTGCTGTGTGCAGGATAAACTGTTACTAATTACTACTTTGGTGCTTCATTGTCATTACTGTTACTTCTGAACTTTTGAATATATACATATCTATATGTTATGTTCTATAGATTATGTATGTTATTATATATTTATAATACATATCAATAATATAAAGAATAATGCATGCAATTGTATGAATACGAACTAAGGTGGAATACTTTCCCTTCATGTAACTGTTTGACATAAGCATTAACACTGAATTTTAGTATTTCCTTTTAACCCAAAGGGTAGGGAATGCTTTTGAAAGTTTTCAGCTGAGTTAGCACACTGCAGAATTTATCATGAAATCATCGTTGTCATACTGGCTTTTCTTCCAGGCCTGCTAAGCAGGCCCTCCCTTCCCACCCAGGCCCTAGAAAGAAGATCCCCGCCCCAGCTGTGGAGCCTGGCTTTCTTGGGAGGTTTCCTTTCCCTACCCTGGTGGAAGCCTGATCTTGTTTTGTTGCAGTTGCCATAGGAGCAGCCCTTGTTGCATGGGTGGCTCCATCACTAAAACAAATGCAAGCAAAGAGTTGAGAAGCAGATTTCAGCCTTCAATACTTCAGACTCCAAGGAATGAAAACAATCTGTGCAATTTAAATAGACTAAATCCCAATGCCCCCAAGGGGAGTGGGTGTTTATTTTTAGGCTTGTGAGCACCACCACTCAGTCTAACCAATGACAGACAACGTCCACAGTGGTGTGTGCGTGTGCCCCTTGCACTGCAGATTTAAGGGGCCTGAGCTGGGCCTGGGCAGCCGGAAAAGCAAACCAGCCCCGCCCCGCCCCGCCCAGGGCGCTCTAGGTGCCGGTGAGCCTCGGATCCTGCGCCCAGTACTCCAGGTCGCCTTCGCAGAGAAGGGCTCATAGCCACCAGCTTGCTCAGTGCCTGCACCATCCTGGTGCCCGAGCGTATTGCAAGGGTGCTGGTGATAGGCGGAGCTGCGAGAGCGTGTGGAGCCCGAGCTGTGGCGAGCACGGTGCGTGGGCGGGGCGGGGTGTCCACTGCGATCACCAACCTGGTAGAAGAGGCACACGCTAAGACGCTGGAGCTGCAGGCGGTGCCCGTGCCCTAGTGGGAACCAGAGGGATCCGGGCGGTCGGTGGAGAGCGAGCAAGGGCAGTGCCCGCCAAGGGCGCGCAGGCAGAGAAGGGCACACCAGGTCAGCGCCAGCTCCTCGTAAGGGAGGACCTGGACGGGTTCCAGGATGGCTGTGCAAGCTAGATAGCGAAGAGAAGCATTCTTGCGCCTCACCTTGTAAAACACGGCCTAGAACACTGTAGTCTGGACTTGGTTTTGAAATGCTAGTTTGTAATGCTAGTTTTATGTTATTCCTGGCTTTGTATTATGTTATTCCTGGCTTTTTATTATTACATATAAATATTTTAAAACAGCATTAAGTTATTAAAAAATTAATAGACTTATTAAAGGGCAGCTTTAGGGGTTTGACAAAAAAAAAATTGATCAGAAAGTACATAGAATTCCCATGTGCCCCCCCACACCCTCGTTTCTCTATTAACATCTTGCTTTGGTGTAGTACATTTGTTACAATTGACCAATCAACACAGATAGTTATTATTAACTGAGCTCATAGTTTTCTGTATGGTTTACTCTTTGTACTGTACTGTTCTATGGGTTTTGACAAATGCATGCCATGTATCAATTATTATAGTATCATACAGAATAGTTCCACCACCCTAAAACCCCCCTGTGCTCCCAGAATTCATCCTTCCCTTCTTCATTCCTCCCCCAACCCCTGGCCACCTAAGATCTTTTTTACTAACACCAGTTTGGCCTTTTCCAGAATGTCATATAGTTGGAATAAAAATCATAGCCTTTTCAGATTGGCTTCTTTCACCTATACATTTAAGGTTCCTCCATGTCTTTTCATGGCTTGATAGGTCCTTTTTATAAAAAAAAAAAAATCACTGAATAATATTCTATTGTATGGGTGCTGTAGCCTTTGTCTAGCCATTCACCTATTGAAGGCTATCTTGCTTGCTTTCAATTTTTGGCAGTTAGTTTTTTACCCTTTTGATGCATAGTAATTAAGAGATTGCAAATCAGAAGCAACTGTCATACCAGTGTTTATTAACCAAACATGGTTGTTAATGACTTTCTGCATCCAAACACTCTTGGGCACTCTGACATCACTCTCACATTGTCTACACACCTCTTCTGCGGTCTCTCCTTATGCAGATCAGGTGCAGAGTATAATATTTTTTAAAGATTAATTATTATAAAAGATAATACCCATGCCCTGGCCGGTGTGGCTCAGTTGGTTAAGCGTCGCCCCATGTACCAGAAGGTCACAGGTTAGGTTCCTGGACAGAGCACATGCCTGGGTTTAAGGCTTGATCCCCAGTAGGGGGTGTGCAGGAGGCAGCCAGGCAGCCAACTGATGTTTTTTTCTGACATCGATGTTTCTCTTTCTCCTTCTCTCTTTAAAATCAATTTAAAAAATTTAAAAATTAAAAAAAAAATGATACCCACTTTAGGTGAACATTTTTTTCAAACATGGAGTATATAAAATGAGAAGTAAAAATCACTACGGCCAGTCCCTAGCCCTATTTCCACTCCCCAGAAGTATCCACTCTACATTTTTTGTAAGTATCTTACTAGCTACTTCTTCTTCATATATAAGTATATATGTATATTATTTTCTTTTAGTAACAAAATATATACAGGGTGGGACAAAGTAGGTGTACAGCTTTAAGTACATGAAACACAGAGTTTATTCTTGTATTATTATTTATAAAATATCGTATTATTTTCCATAGGAACAACTGTAAATCTACTTCCCCATCCCCCACCCCCGTATATGTTTTGGAATACATATGTGTAAATAATTTCTAAAAAAAAAAAAAAAAAGTTGTCTTGCTTTTGTTTATAAGAAAGTACTTTTGAAAATAAAGTCAAGTGGAACACTTATATTTAATCCTCCTTTTGGCATCTGTGATGAGAGAGAGCCTTTGGTTACTTATCTCCCCAATGTCACCCAGTCCCATGGTCTCTAAAGCTACACTAAATGAGCAACACGTTGATGTCACTCCTGAGCAGTAGGGAGCTTGGAAGGTGGCTTAAATAATTTCACCTCCAGTTACACATTCTTAGATCAGCCATTACTTGTATTCTCTCATTTTCACTTTATTCTTGGTGATGTCACCCTTTCCCCAGGAAGTGACTTCCTTCTTCCCTGGTAACCAAGTTCCACTCAAAGTTTCTCATACAGTACTTTTTTGGACGGAGGGGGTTACCCTTTAATATTTTCAGGTACTAAGAGCATAATGTTGTTGTTTTTAAAGCCTGAGCACTGCCCTCAGGTATCTGTCCTGCTGAGCACATCTGCAGTTTTTTGGAAGGTGGGAATAGGAATGATACAAGTTCCTAAACTCCACTGGGGGAATAATATCCATAGTAGGGGTTCAAATGGTAAACGGTGTTCATTGTTTCCTTCTAGAACAACGGTTCTCAACCTGTGGTTTGCGACCCCTTCGGGGGTCAAACGACCCTTTCACAGGGGTCACCTAAAACATAACAGTAGCTAAATTACAGTTATAAAGTAGCAACAAAAATAATTTTATGGTTGGGGGTCATCACAACATGAGGAACTGTATTAAAGGGTCGTGGCATTAGGAAGGTTGAGAACCACTGCTCTAAAAGATCCAGTTACAAAAAGCACCTCTTCTTAGAAATCATTGCTTTTGTAGTGATCATTTACAATTGAAAAGCTTTTTATAGAATGAAATATTAGGGTTTTTACATTGGTTCTTTGAACCTCTAGGAGGATATTTTTTCTTTAAAGCCATCTTGATTACTCGAGTTTGAACATCACTGTATTATTAGGCTGTTTTGGGAAGAGACCTACCCTTTGGAATCCACCTTGGACTTCCTGCTCCATAGAAGGCTGCCACTGACCAAAGCAAAAGTACCCTGGGTCCCCGCCCACCTGAATACAAGCTCTCAATGGACTTCCTAATAAGTCAAGTGCAAATTCAGAACAGTAGTCTAGCATCATGTGCCTTGGTTCACCGAGGATTTCTAAGACCAAATTCTGCTCCTTGGACTCTACCTTGGACCTTTTCATCCACAGAGAGAAGTCAGTGACCAACAATGAAAGTGGCCTGGTGCCCTGACCATCACCATATGAGGTCTCAATGGGCTCCCCACGCACTGGAGGGAACCTCAGAACAGCAGTTACAGCATCATGTGCTTGGTTCAACTAGGAAGCCTAAGACTAAGATCTGCCCCTTGGACTCCACCTTGGAATTTCTGATCCACACAGGACAACTGATGTTCAACAACGAGAGGGTCCAGCACCTGGACCCCTGCCCACCACCACACAAGCTTTAAATGGACTCCCTACTGATTGGAGGGCTGCTGCTGACCAATAATGAGAGAGCCCTGTGCCTCTGCCCAACCTCTCATGAGCTGTCAATGGACACAGGACCTAGTCGAGAGCAACCACAGAACAGCAGTCACAGCATCTTGTGCCCTAATGCACCTGAGAGTCTTAAAACCAGTATCTGCCCCTTGGACTCTACCTTGGACTTTTTGCCTTACAAAAGCAGCCAGTGACCAACACTGAGACTGCCATGGACGCCAGCCTGCCTCCTTCCGGCACTCACTGGACTCCCTGCTGAGTCCAGGGCAGCCACAGAACAGCAGTCACAGCATCATGTGCCCTGGATTACCTGAGTACCCCAATACCAGTATCTGCACCTTGGACTTCGCCTTGGACTTTGTGCTCCACAGAGCATGGCTGGGGACCAATGAGTCACAGCGTCGTGACTGCTAGGAACTTTAAAACCCAGTTCCACCTCTAGGTTTCCCCTTGGACTTCCAGCTCCAGAGCGGGCAGTTGATAACCGACAACAAGAGTGCTCTCGTCTCCCGCCCACATCCACACAAGTTCTCAGTGGGCTTACTTCCTAATCTGGGGCCACTGCACAGAACAGCTGTCCCGGCATGGTGTGCCCTGGTTCACCTAGGAACCCTAAGGCCACGATCTCCCCACTAGACTCCCTGCTCCACCAAGGGCAGTCGACAGCTCCCTCTCCTGGACCACCAGGACCCCGTCACATGCACGCCCTGAACAGAGCCCCACGGTATCTCTCGATGTTCCCTGAGTGATCATTGCTTGTGGCTGTCAGGCGAGTTGTGTTTGAGATGCTAGTACCTGTTTCAGGAAAAATACCTAATACCAATCCTCATTCACGCGATCACCAAAGTGTCCACCAAAATTATGAGCCCAGAAGCTGCAGGCAGTGTGAAGGGTGTCCTCACCAATGCCCCATCACCACCTAGCCCTTGGTCCCAGCCATGTTCCTGCCTCCCAGGTGGTGCCCCAGCCTGAAGACCTTTGGCCTAAACCAACTTCAGCCTGATGCCCTGGTGGCATATCACCTGGGGGCCCCTTTTCATGTGGGACTTCTGTGGTTTAATGGGTACTTTGATAAGGACCAGGTGTCCCTGGACATATCACTAGTTTGAGGCCAGGGACTGAGAGCAAGATCCAGAGGAGGCCTAGACCCCGAGCGCAGAGGTGTCCCTGGCTGAGCTCCTCTAGGCTAAGAATAGGCACTGTCCCCGCAGCAAGAGGTGGAGACATGACAACAGCGGGCTTAGTCCGCGCTCTGGAGAGCTCTGAAGGCCAGGTGCAGGGGCTCCCAGAAGCTGTTGCCTTCCAGGCAACAAGCCTAAATGGGCAGGGGTGAAGCCCAGCACATGCCACCCCCAGGAAGGCACAGAAGGGGAGCTGGGGTAGAATGTGGGTCACCTCCTGGGGTGGAAGTGGTGTGAACCAGCAAGACGTGGTCTTCACTCACATCTCCGTGGCTCACACATAAATTCTGTGATTTAGATTACTCCTATCATGAGAAATTATTACTCCATAAGTTAAATTCTCATTTTGACTGGTTGAAGATACATTATTATGGGGTTTGTTTTTACATTTTTCTATCATATATACAGAATTGGGAATGTTTTCATGTAAATATCAGTATTTGTGCACAAAAAAAATCTACAAAATAATCTGATCATTTCCCTTTCAATTTGGCTAACAAGAATGCAGGAAGAGGGTAGATATTTACAGAAAATACTTCAAGTAATTGGGAATAATTGATG